AAAATATTTAAGGATAAGAGGATTATAATATTTTGCTTTAATTTTAACTTAACTTAAAGGCTAATTAAAATTAAAAAAATATTAAGAAAAAAAAGGAAAAAAAAAAACTTAAAAAAAGAAAGGAAATTTATATATATAAAGTTGCTATAATAAGAAGAAATAAGCAATGCTAATAATAAGCTACCTTATTATTAAAAAAAATAATTTATTATTTTATTTTTAATTAAGATTAATTTATTACCAAGAAGAAGTTATTTACCTTTAATTTCTTACTTATAAAAAAGTTATTTATCTTTTTATTATAAAGAGATTTTAGCTAAGTAATTTATTTTAATTTATATTTAATAAACTTATAAATTAAAAAAAAAATATTTTATAATTAACTATTATTTAAGAGAAATAAGAAATTATACACCCTTTTACTTTAATTATTAACAAAATAATAAATTAATAACTTTTAATAATAACTTATAAGCCTCCTTATTACTTCTTTATTTTAATTAATATAACTATTTAACTTAAGAGTAGTAAGTTATTAGCTTTTGCTACTTTAACTTATATATATTACCATACCTATTTATTTATAATTAAACCCTCTTCCTACTTTTTTTTCTTCTTTTTCTTCTTCTTCCCACCTTTATATTATTATTAATTAAAGATTAAAGGTTAGCTGCTATTAAGCTATTTTAATAATAATATACTTTTAATATATTAATCTTTTCCTTTATTTAATTCTTATTTAAAGATAAGCAATAATTATTTATAAAAACTACCTTAAATTATAGCTAAATATTAATTATATTTCTTTTTTATTTTTAACCCTCTTTATCTTAATTACTTATATAGCAATTCTTAAAGATATAAAGCTCTTTTTATTATTATATTTTCCTTTTTTATTACTTAACTTTTATTATTTACTCTTTACTTTATTATTTATTTTCTTTACTTCCTTTCTTTATAATTAAAAGCTAAAATATTTTTTAATTAAAAAGATAAAGTAAAAAAGCATTTTTAATTACCTTTATATTATAAAATATCTTAAAACCTTAATACCTTAATTTTAATAATTAAGCTTATTAATTTAAAAAAGAATAATTTAATATTAATAATTATAAAACTTCCTTACTTTAATAACTTTAAAAACCTATTTAATAAAGCATTATAATTTTTAAATATTATAAATATTTAAAATTAATAAAACTTTGCTTAAAAAGTAAATATTAACTTTTTTAAAAATCTCTTTAAAATAAGAATTATTATAAATAAGGTTTGCTTAAATAATATTTAATAATTTTAAACTCTTAATTAACTATTATTTTTTAATATAAAATAAATAATATTTAATAATAAACTTATAAAAATAATATAAAAATATTTCTTAAGCATTAATTTTTATCTTAAGCTAAAAAAATTAGCTAAGTTAATAAATTTAATAAAATAATATTAAGCCTTTTTTACCTTTAATTTTTTTAATATAAAAAAAATACTTTATAAATATAAAAAACTAAAAACTTAGCATATTATAACCTTTATAATTTAATAGCTTTTTAATTTTTAAAATATTATATTCTTACTTAAAAAATCTTTATATTATAATTATATCTTACTTAAGTAATATTAATAATATAAATTAATAAAGAATTATAAATTTATTATTATATTTATTTATATGCTTAATTATTAAATAATAATAATTTTTAATAAAATAAAAAATTATTACTTATTATAAAATAATTTTATATTAAGAAATAAAAAAAGCAAGATAAATAAGAATGCTAAAACGCTTATTTATAAATATTTAATAATTATCTTAAAAAATAAAATGCAAGATTTTAATAAAGAGTTTGCATTAAGATTAAAATAAATTAATAAAGTATTTTATAAATAATATATTATTAAGTTTATTAAAAATTACTTTAAAGAGAATTAAGGAAAAAATAATTAAAAAATATAAAATTAAGTTAAAACTTCTTTAATTAAAATTATATATTTTAAAATATTTAAAGTTATTATTAATATTATTATTTAAATATTTATTATTTAATTAAAGCTTAATAAAATTAATAAAGCTATTTAAATACTTATATTAATTCCCTTTATTAAGATTAATAATATAAAAATAATTAAAATAAAAAATAAGCTTTTATTATAAAGGGATATTATTTAATAGCAGCTATTTAAATTATAATATATTAAGATTATTATTAATTATAAAAAAAGCATAAAGAAAATAATATTTTTAATATAAATTAATTTAATAATTTAATTTTAAATATTTAATATATAATAAAATATAAACTTTTAAATAACTTAAAATTAACTTAGCAAAACTTTAATTAAATAAGCCTTTAACTTAAATATTATATTATAAGATATTTTAAAGCTAATAAGAAATGCTTACTTTAATATATATAAGGATCTTTTTTATTTATTTATTTTAATAATAAATATAAATAAAATTTAAAGCGTATTAATTAACTTAAAATAATTAAAATAATAATAAAGTTTACTTAAAAATAATTTAAAAGGCTTATAAGTAAATTAATTAAGTAATTAAATATAAGATATAAATATTAAAAGCAAAAATATAATAAAAAGCAAAAGTAAAAATAAAAGCTTTATAAAAAATAAAAGTAAAAGTTAATAAAGCTAATATATTATGCTTAATGCAATAATTAAAAGAAAAAATAAATTTACTTTTTATTTTATAAAGATATTTAAATCTTTAATAACTATATTAATATTAATTATTAAAATAAACTTTAATAGCTAAGAAAATATAATTAATAAATATATTATTAAATAAATTTTAAAAATATTTAAAGTTTTTATAAAAAAATAAAAGCTATAATAAAATAAATAAATAAGGAATTAAAGATAATAATAATAATTAAAATTATAATAAAATAAATTTTAAAACTTAAAGGCTTAATTAAAAATAATAAAGTTTTATTTTAATAATTTTTATAATATTTATTATAAAATACTTAAAAAAAGGTATATTAATAAGTATAAAAAATTATATAAAAAATAATATTATATTAAATTTTAATTAGCTATAAAAAGCTAACTTTTATGCTTATTTTAAATATTCTTTTAAGAAATTAATTTTTTTTTTTTCTTATATATTTAATGCTTTAATTAAGCTTTTCTTATTTTTAAGAATTTTTAAAATATTTATCTTTTCCCTTTTTTTAATTCCCTTTTATTCCTATTTTCTCTCTTTATTACATTAAAGCTCCTCCTTAAGTTATCCTTAAGAAGGTTTAGCAAAACCTATCCCTTATTATTTAAGTAGCTCGTTTTTAATATTATTCTTTTAAATATTTTATTAAAGGGATAAGTAAAATAATATCCTTAAATTAATTAATTAAGTTAATTAAGAAAAAGGAAAATATAACTTTAATATTTATTTATAATTTAATCTTAATATCTTTATTAAAAAAGTTATTAGCAGCAGCCTTTTTAATGATTTCTTAAATATTATTATTTTTAATAATAAAGGAGTTAATAAAGAGGTTAGCAAAGAGGTTCTTATTATTATAAGGCAAGGAATTTAGCTTCTTTTTATTATTTTTAATAAGGTTGCTTTTTAATAATAATAATTGTAATAATAATTTTAAGAGTATTTTCTTTAATAGCGATGGCTTCCTTTTTATTAATAGCTTTTAAGTAAGCTTTATTAATAGTAATAAAGGAAGTTTTGCTTTTAGCTTAATGATAATTTAGATTTTCTTTATAGGAAGATTATTAAATGCTATAAATATAATATTTTTTTTATAAGTATTATACTTATTAGCTTTAAGGAATTGCTATTAAAGATAATATAATATTTAAGCTGGGATTATAATTAATAATAAGAGTTATAGTTTAAGGGCTTATAATTATTATATAAAATTAACTTTAAGGTATTAATAATAATAGCTTTATTTAAGGGCCTTATAGCATATAAATATTTTTATTAGCTATAATTATATATAAATAAATAATACTTAGCATTAATTATACCTTTTTAAAGTTTTAATAAGGTATTACCGGCTTTTATAAACTTTAATAATAGGTTAAAGGGTAAGAAATTATATTTAAGGGTAATTATTATATATGGTAATTTATATATAAGCTTTTAATAATGATAATAATCTTAATTAATGCATAAATTAATAATATTAAGGGTATTAATTAATGATATAATAAATATATATGATTTTTAATGTAAGGTATTATATGCAGGTTATTAGCGCTAAAATGGAACGTTTGATTGCATATGAGAGTATGTAACCACGATTACGGGCGCTACCACGTCGTTCTGAATAGTTACACTTTTAGCCGACCTGAATGTACTCCTGATATGCGCCCACTAAGTCCGATATTGAAATTGACTTCAGTGTCCCTCTCAGAAAATTGAAATGATTATGGCGAAAGTCGTAGACAGTATTCTGAAAGTAATAGATACACCGCGGCTTATTGGTGGCTTGAAACTCGACGAGGTGAGGCCCGAGCGTCTGCAGACCAACCTCAGAAACCTTGAGTACTCCGCGCACGCGTACGCGCTCTTCGTCTGTTTGCATTCTTCGTGCACGTTGTGAAACAGCCAGCTACTCTCTCAACCTCGCCCGCGTCTCTCGTTTGCCACCCATTTGCATGGTGTAAAGACATCACCTCCCCTCGGAGACTTTGTTGTTTCTTATTTGATATTCGAACAGCAGCAACTGATATCAAACCTGCTCAAACCCAATCTGCCAGTCATCACGGATTGAATAACTCAAAACTTCTCGCAACATCGCGAAGCAGCTCTGGACTGTCCATGAGAATATCAAACAAGGATCTCAGTTCGGCCCGACTTTAACACAATGGTCTCACCAGAAGCCAGTCTTGCTACCGCCGGCACACACCAGCCGTCATCTGATATCGCACTGAGAAAGCGCACTGCTGATGACGATGCTGCCGCCTAGTCACCAGGGACCAAGAGGGCTGCCATCAGTGCCAGAGGCCAGCTCACAATGCGCCGTTCTGGGGCGCCGGCTAGTTTCCATGGACTGATGAGGCCGAATATCCCGCCGGCTCAGAGCACTCTTATCCCTCGTCATGTTCCTCGACCTGGGCCACTTTCCTTGCCCACCCCGGCCAGCTTCAATTTCGCACCTACGCAGTCGTCCACGATCAAAAGCCAAGTTCTCTCCCCTGCCAGCTCTTCAAACTCTTCATTCTCAAGCGCGCCGTCCTCAATCGACAGCTTCCAGCTTCCCGCAGAGGTCAGACAAAGCCTGAACCGTTCTGCCCCTGCGACCTCTGACAGCAGACCATCTCCGCCGAAGGCCGCAGACCCTGCTGTTGGGCCGCAAAAGTTCATTCCTCGGTTCGGACCTGCTCACAGACTGCCTCCAGAGTCGGATCATGAGGAGGGTGACATGTCTGAGGCCAATACTGAGGCTGTCATACACATTGCGCACCAACCCCAGACATTTGACGACCGACTCGCTCAAGCTCAGGAGCAGTCCCAGGTCTGGGGTTATATCAAGGACAAACTCGAATTCGCCAACTTCACCTGCAAGAGCGAGCGCGAGGAGGGGGCATTTTTGGAGATACTACGCCTCCCCAAGCAGAATGAGCTTGACGACGAGCCCATGAGAGGGACTGACAGACACAAACGCCGATACTGTGTTATTATAGGCTCTATCTTGCAAGTAGTTGGTGTCAAGGGGCACTGTGACGCCTGTAAACCGCACTGTCGGATATACTGGCAGCACAGGCAAAAGACCTGCATCGGCCTCCCCCCAAGCGCGACCGGCCCGCAGTACCGGAACCTCATTGACTTCGTTGCAGGCCGGTGCAGCAACTGCATCCGCTCTACCTACTTGCCACCGTCGTGCCATTTCGCCGCGGGCGAGGCCCCCGCTGATGCGGAAGAAGAGGAGGAGGACCACGGTGTGACTGCCGACCACCACAGCAGCCCTGGCGATGCGGAAGACGCGGAAGTCTCCGTTGCAGGTGCAGACCCTGCCCCCGGGGACGCATTCTCACAGAATCGAGCCCCTGCTCAAGGTGACAGAGAGCCAACCCAAGACCGTCCCTCCCAGACTCCAGCCCCGGGTGAGGAGAAGGACCGGCCACCCTCCGCCGGCTCAAAGCCTCAAGCCCAGGCCTCAAGGGCACCAGATGCAGAAACTATTATCCGTGATGCCATCGTCGTCGGCTTTCGCGCAAGCACGCAGCTCCGGGCGGAAGAGCAGGAGAGCTTTCACGACTGGATGGCCGCGCTGTTCTCGCTCTCGTCCTCTTCGCCAGACCTGGAGGGCCAGGCCCTGGAGGCCCTCATGCGCCTCCGCCAGCTTTCCCCCGGCGCCCAGGTCGACATTCGGCGGCGGATTCTCCAGATGCTCCCGGGAGCTATGGGCCGGCCTGCATGAGCTCTGGGGGGCCCAGTCGCGTGGGCCTCTGTCCCATCGGCCGCAAGGGTTCGTTTGGCACGCACTCGAATCCATTTGGAGGATAAACTTTGCCCCACGTTGATGTGGTTCTCGTTGAACCTTAAGCACATGCTGTCAGGAGTCACTGTGGGACGTAGACAGATTTTGCAGCGGAGGCTTGGAGATTGGGCGACACATGGCGTGCTAAAATCGTGACGAGCATGGGGCGTGAATCATGTCTCAGTGATGTTGCTCTCCTGCCGCTCGAGCCATTTCTCCTGACTGACGCGGGAGCCCGATGACTCCCTGGTATTAGTGTATTGATTGTTACGGGTAGAGGTGCTGCCCGTCCCGATGTCTGCGCTCGTCTGTGTGCCAAAGGCTCGTTCCAGCGTCGAGTCCCATTCCCTCTGCAGGTCCGTCACAAGTTGGAATTCGGTGTTTAGTCTTCTCGAGCGGTTCGCAAAGTCGAGGAGCCGATTCAGGATGGTGATTTCACATTCTGCTCTTGTGTCAACCGCGTGGTACCGCGACGGCGGTGACGCGTCGGTGATGCCTTCTCGCGAAGCAAGGGACTGGTGCTCTGCGTCTGGATAGAAATTTACTTACGCAGCTTTACACTGTATACGAAAATCTTGTACCCCAGCTGGATCAAATACAACCCAGCGTGCTGGTGCGGCGCTGTCAGCAGTGGTTTCTGCATGGGTAGAAGGTACTTCAAGCCTGGGGAGTTTTAATCCAAAGGTTCTTTACCTCAAGTACCACTATCGTGATGTCCAGAAACAAAATGATAATGTTCACAATGATTAATTGTGTGAGAATGCTCTTCACAACTCGCAGCGACGTGCTGACCCTGGGACTCGCGTACTGCCGGATGCTGGGTTCTTCAGCAGCCCTGGGCTTTGAGTACCGGCCTAGCAAGTCGCGAGACTTCCACATGTACAGTCCGGATATCACGGTCTCTTGTGCAAAGAACACTGTGATATTGATTCTCTCGAATACGCTGTGTCCAGTCCTGCGTCAACATTCGTCCCTGGCATAACTAGCTGTTGTTTCTTTGGAGGGGGTGCGCTGACCTGTAAGCTTGTGTGAAGGGCACTGACTCTGGGCCCTTCAAACGAGTCCCGACGGTGAGGACGGTCCCGGTGACGTGGATGGTTACGCCGTTGATAATGATCATCCACAAGACCAGACGTAGCACCCTCGGGGTAATGGCCAGGAGATGGAGGCGCGAGTACAGTACCACTGACTGTCCCGAGACCATGAAAACCCATCCAACACAGCTCATGACGCCATTGATCATCGTATTCACCTGAGGTGTTGCGACGCTGATGATCTGTGAAGCCGAGCAGATGAGGATGCCGATGGTTGATAATATCATCGCCCAAAAGTAGAGCGTCCACAGCCTCTTGAACGTCAGGAAAATCATGGGAAACATCCCCACTGCGTTCCATATCGCGGCGCCGAGGAAGCAGGCAACGAGGAAGCGCTCCCCTGAAGACATTTGCCTCGTGTCCACGATGTTGTTGGTGTCTACTCGCCTCAGGAGCGACTCCATCGCAGGTGACGACCCCATCGCTGCAGCAGCTGGTGTGTAAAAAAATGAGCCCGGTGGCTTGTGGGGGAAGATCAAGACCTGGGTCAAAAGAAGGGCTGTCCGGAGCTTCTGTTGCAGGCTTTAGGTGTTCTAGTGCTTCCATTGCCCATGCGCCTCTGTAACCCTCCAATTGGGGGACCGCATCCAACTCGCGGTATCAAAACTTAAAATGCATAAACTCTGAGTGACGACAAATCACACGTCGGACCCCCGTCACAGCGTCATGGGTGGCCCGACATGAGGGGAAGACCCGATCATCTCCAGATGCAGCCTGACTCGGCCTTTGCCTAGTCTTGGGCGTATCAAGATCGCTATTGGGTTACATCCGATCGTTGCGCGAAGGTAGACCGCCTGGAAACGATGGTGCAAGGGATAAGACACAGCGTACGGCCTCAGTGGCCCAACACCGCAAAACCCGGTGCGGAACATGCCGGGATGAGGCGAACAGGTTCCATTGTTGCTGAAATGCGGTTATATATACCCAGGTTTCCTATGTACGTGCGGCTGGCCTGGTAACTGAACATACGATGGCACCTTGTACAAGGCGAACAATCGCCCTTCCTCCTATTTACACATGTGATACGAGCGCAACTCTTAGAAGTTGTTGAACCACCGGATGGCCTGCAGGAAGGCAGACTCCTTCGCAAACTTCTGAACCGGGTCTGAGACGTTCGCGCGAACTCCAAAACCGTGTTGGACGCCACTGTACAGGTTCACTTGATAAGGCGAGCTGATGTTGAGCAGCAGAGCTTCGAGTTCGGCCCTCAGGGACGCCGGCAGGAGACTGTCCTGGTCTGTGGCAAAAACATGTCAGCTTTCCCGTGCTCCGTCATCGCCCAGGTTTTATACTCTTCCACGTATAATGTGCACACAGGTTCGCACGAGTCATCGCAAGCGGCACCTCGAAAAGCCAAACCCTGGCAACCCTTGGACCTTGGCGAGGTATAAATGAGGGTGGCGGGGGGCGGGCAGCTTACCAGCAGTGGCCACCGCCGTGGCGGCCCCAATCGCACTGACTTCCCCGTCCACCCAGGCGCTCGGGTGCGCCGCGAACGCTACATCCGCCTTTACCGTCCTGGCGGCGTCGACGAAGCGGAACGAGTACCGCCCGCCGAAGCAGTAGCCCGTCACCGCGAGTTTGGTGACGTTCAGCGTGCTGCGAATGTAGTTGACTGGGGCTCTGTCAGTGGCTCACGCTCTCCCAAGACAGGTCATAAAGTTCACGACAAGGATAGAACCGAGATGAACTTAAGTAGGGCGACCTGCGACGCCGATCTGACCAGGGGACATGAACAAGACAGAGAGAGGAAGTCGGCGTCTTCCTGCAGGGGGTCAACTCACTGGTACCCTCGACGATCGGGTCCGTAACATCCGGGCCATGGGCGGCGAGGAACGCAGTCGTATTGAAGGTTGGGTCATTCAGGTCCGATGGTGCAGGACTCCCCTGGAACAAGTCAGGAGCGACAGTAACGAAACCGGCACGGGCGAACGAGTCGGCGAGACTTTGAGGCAATTAGATACGCGTACTCGGGGGTGGGTCTCAGCCTGCTCACAGCTTGTTCTCGGTAAGGTTAATTCCAAACACGTCGGTCAGGTACAACACCGCGGCGCCATTCGTGTCCGGTGCATCGGCACCCGGTTTGGTGATATAGTATGTCGCTAAAGTTTCACACATGTCAGCCAAATTCGTGGATCTCCTGGGGACACCGCACTGACTTCCATCGACGACTTCCTCGGTGCCGACAGGCTCTCCAGTGTGCGCAATGATGGACGTGTCTCCATCAATTGGACGGTCCGCGAGGGCAGTCGAGGCCAAGAGCGGGGCCAAAAAGAGGAAATGGGTCAACATCGTGGGCGATATGCTGCGGATTTGCTCTAGATTCAACGGCTAGGAGTGCAGTAAAGGGCTGCAAACTCGGACGAGACAGGCCGATCACTGATGTTTTAAAGTCGGGTCTCGAGGGAACCGGCAGTATTAGCCGTTAAGATACGCCATTCTTGGAATATATGTAGAGGATACGTCCCCATTAAAGACGGAGATGCCTTACGTCTTCGAGGTCGATATTGCTACCCATCCCTGTCTTGGTGCCAAGATAATCTCCGCCTCCCAATCGGTCCCTTGCACCGGACTGGGGAGGTGGTTCGCGCGATGATCCATTAGAGTTTTGATGGCCGCTAAAGCCGGGTGTGATTGCATCATCGAACACGGCAAATTAATTAGTAAACCAGCCGTTGGGCGACCCGTTCGTTTTTTTTGTTTTTGTTTTTTTTCAGGGGCAGTAGGCCAAAGGCCGAGCCCTCGGAGATAACGACCACACTTACCCGACCTCACATCCGGAGCTGCAGTTTGATTGTCTGTGCTTGACATTTCACCTCCAATCACCTAGCCAGATCCTAGGCTTGGTTGCCGGATGCCGTGGCGGAGCAGAGTATCATCGCTGATAAATACCCCGCGAGGTTGGTAATCTTCAACGGTCTCTCATCGAGTATCACTGTTCGTCGACATGGTGTCCTCGTGATTGAGTGAACACGCACAGGCAGGAGCTGTGGGCATGTTGCCGGCTGCGAGCGGCTCCACGAGCAACGGCAACGGCAGCTACCCTCTTCACTTACTCCCGACGGCACTCAATGTCCAGACGCAATTCAGTCAACCATCGGCCCAATAAAGGAGCGGCATTTCACAGCACGAATCTTGGTCTCGAAATTTCCAAGGTTCAGAAGAGCATGCAACGATAGCGAGCGCACACAGCCAGTGTTTCGGCGTACCACATCAGGGAGCAAAAGCGGCTTGTATTGATTCGTCGACTACAAGAGCAAGGACTGGCCCACTCTCCCCTTGAAAATGATCCACCCCACGTCCGCTGCGCTTGACATCGGAGCACAACGACAAATACCAGGAGACAGTCTGGAGACTTTTGCTCAGCAAGTATACTCAAGCTCCAAGTGCACCAGCGGTATCCCTTCAAATCCCGATGGAACCGCGAACGAAACATTGTGATAGAAATGATCCTGCAGTGTGCTCGTCGATGCTGTCACAGGCAACGCTTCTAAGCCCGGAGCAGACACATCAACACTCAAACACGGAAGATCCTCCAGTCCTGTGATTCCTTTCCCACTGAGTACCCAGCCAGGTGGAATGCCAGACACGGCAAATGTGAAGATGTCGGTGCCGTCCTGCGTCGTATTAGGATATGACACAGTCAGCGTCTTGGGGCCGGCAATGGCTTCAACAGTCGAGGCGGTCGGGTACAGAGAGAAGAAGCCAACATAGGGAGAGGGCGTTTTCTCCGGGTCCGATGCCCAGTGCACAATGGCGGGGACGAACTGATTTCCACGGTCTTCGGTCTCTGCCTGGGCTATACCACCAATCATCACATCCGCAGAAAGCCACGAGGTAGCCACTCGAACAACGTCCGTGTCAAGGGACTCACGGACAATTTTGTTGAGGAATCTCTCGCCCGACCATTGTCCTCTGGCTTTCAATGCCTCGTCTTCGGGGATGTACTTGAGCGCGGTGTCGGTGACAAGTGCGACAGCGGCGCCCTGGGCCACATCGAAGAGCAGGTCGGGCTCGCCGAGCGGCGGCTGGCCTCCGTACTCGCGGCCGAACATGCCCCACCACCACAGCGACAGGACAGAGGAGTGGCCAGTCATGTCCCGAGTATACGCGCGGTCGTAAGGCCCCACCATGTTCCGCAACAGGGGGTTGTAGTGGTCTGCGATGTCCTTCCATAGCTCGGTGAGGATGTACTCCGAGTTCGTGGTCATGGTCGCGTCTTTTGGCCCGTAGGCGATATTTGCTACGAGGGCCCAGGTGTCCATGCCGTAGTATGTTGGTGAGTTGTACTCGCCCAGGGTGTTGTAACCGTCTGCCTTGAACAGCTCGAGGAGCTGGTCTCCTTGCTCGTTGGCGTAGTCGATGAGTGCTGAGTTGTTGCGGCGGGCTCCGATCCAGCCCACAACCAGAGCGCGCATGAGTGCAGGGTTTGAGTACCCCAGGATCAGATTGTCATCTGAAGGGTACGTGCCGTTCCGCCGCATTGCACCCACCGCAGCCTTCTCCAGAGACTCCTCGATCTGGGAGACAAGATCATTGCCGAGGAGGTCTGAGGAGAGCTCAACGACCTGGATGAGTTGTGTCCTGTTGCGTGTCAATACCTGCTCAGAAAAGCGCGGCGGTTATGAACGCCGGCTCACCCAACAAATTCCCTCCAATTCGGGTCATATGTTGTCTGCAATATGATTTAGTTAGCCGAAAATGTAGACTTACAACGTTCCACCAGACATCACATACATATATCTTAGGTGGCCAGTAAGTAGAGTTCTCCGTTGGCTCGGGCGCGTCAAGTGACACTTTGTAAGTCCCATACCAAGCCGACTCGAATTCCGAAGTCATTTGAGCCGAGAGGCTGTTGGAATTTCACGTCAGTTCATGCCAGTCGATGCTCGAGAAACCCTCTAGGGACTTGCAACTGACACATTCGCAATGGCAGCTTTGGCATTGTCAACGTCACCGCCCTGATTTCTGTGGAGCAACCCAGCACAGTACCAAGCTGTGAACCTTGTGCTGACCTCTCCCTTCTCCTGATACCAGATGAACTTATAATAGTCATCAAACCTTGAATCTGAAACTTGCATCGAGTAGTCAAATAAGGTTTGGGCGGCTTTGGATGTGATCGTTAGCTCTGACGCACGTTGCGCAGCGGGCCGAAAGGCAATGCTTCTGAGTCAGCCTCGTACCTGTTGACAAAGATCCACTCGAGTTACTACGCACTACTTCGGTAGTAGCTGATCCAGAACCGCCGTACGAGAGCAAGCCGACCATGGCAAGGCTCAGGCCATTCTTACTCTTGTACAACAAACGCATGGTGATTGGAAGACAGGCGCGACGTCTGAACAGGAGGGTGGAACAGGCCTATGTGCCATTGGGCACACGTCCAGAGACCCAGGCGAATCTTATATAAGTACTACTAGTACTGACTTTCCACTGGATGCAAGCAACGTCCGGGGTACGCTTCTAGTCCCGACATATTGAGCCAAGTCTATGAATTGGCCGGTCATCGTCAGTTCCATGCTGCTTGTCAACACGCTATCCCGCGCATTTGAGGTCACACGGCGCGCCAACACTCCAGAATGGCAGTTCTTGGTGTTGATCCGCCAATAGGGTCGTCCGTAACGGCGAGATCCATTGAGTGATAGCTCGCAGTCAGTGGGTTCAAGTCGGCTAGTCTAGCTCCTTGTAGGAAATAGCGCTGCGGAGAAGCCTGTTAGACAGGGGCTATTTGATGTGTGACAGCTCTTCAGCCGGGAATAATTAATATCCTCTTAAAAGTGAACCGGGTGTAAGAAGAAAATGTCAAATGTGAGAATCAACATAGGCTGGAATTTGTGGATTAGCGACACCGTGGAATCCTATCCCCATTCGAAACCCTACAATTTAATAGAATTTCTGGAGTCGACATGCCGATGTGCCTGGGGGCTGCGATTCAAGTCGGCTCAATCGCGGGTTCTCCCACTGAGTCTTGGATGTACGATTTGGTCATATTCGGGCCGCACTCCCCCGAGTCCGCCGCATAGAAGAATTGGTATCCACACTAGAGCACATGCACGATGATTCCCCTGTCTAGTTATTCTCTTCGTCCACAGGATGTCCGAGAGCAATCACCACGGTCTCGCCAAGTTTAGGTGCCGGTAACAAATTCAGGTGGGGGCGCTTCCTGACCAAAGGCTGTGTCGGAAACATGTTCTCGGGACAAGCACATCATGTTTGGTTGGGGTTATCATCATTCATCTCATGACAGCGCTAAGGGAGACTGAACTTGCGCTACAAGTACGAAGTATTTCCTTTGGCTAATCTATGATAGCTACTAAAAAGCCCTACTTCTGCCGGCCAAACTCAGTGGTCAGCAACACCTTTAATCCTCCTGGAATTTTATGTTCGTGGAATTTCGCGTAACAATCAGAGACGTTCTCGAAATCATCTGTACCCCAAGCTTTCAGTATTTTACTTTCACGATGTTGGCCGCGTATAGTGTCAGGGGCAGAGATCTTACCTTCATGGGTGAACATCCAAGATGGATCATACTTACCTTGAACCACCAAGTCCAAGAGATACGGGTGATACCTCTGAGCCATAAGCTGTCCCCCGCGGAGAGTGATTGTCTTCTCCATTAGCATTCCAATAGGGAATGAGTGCGTCTCGAAGAAGAAATCGCCAATCAGGGCCACATTGCCACACTTTCTCGTAGACTTGATCACAGCCGCAATAGTGTCGCCGCTGTCTCTCTCAAGCATGGTGTCTCTCAAGAACCTATGCTTGGCGCTGACCGCGCTTCTGAACCCGCTCGCCTCGACGGCACGGTCCAGGCCACCGGGCTGGACAGACAAGATGTAGTCGGCGACGTCGTTGTGCTTGTTGACGTCGACCGGCTCCAGTCCAAACTTCTGGGCCAGCTCCAGTCTCTGCGAGTCAACATCAACAATGTAGACCTTCTTCGCGCCCCGCACATCCTTCGCAAGCCGGGCGATAGACAGTCCAATCGGCCCAGCGCCCCAGACACCGATGACATCCCCCTCGCACACCTCGGCCAGCTCGCAGCCGTGCCACGCAGTCGTCGTCACGTCCGTCAGGCCCACCAGCTTCTTCGCGTCGACATCGTGCGGCGCCTTGACGCACACCAGGTCCGCGTTAGGCACGCGGCAGTACTCGGCCTGGTCCCCGGGGTACCCGCCCGTCAGGTGCGAGTACCCAAAGATGCCGGCGAGCCGGTGGCCGTAGATGCCCTCCATCTCCTTGCTGGGGTTCGTCCTGTCGCACAGGGAGAACTCCGCCCTCTTGCAGTACTCGCAGTCGCCGCACGCAATCACGGGCAGGATGATGACGCGGTCGCCGGGGGACAGGTGCTTCACGTCCGGGCCGACCTCGTCGACTATCCCGATCGCCTCGTGGCCCATTACGTCGCCCTCCTGCATGGCGGCGTTCAGGTCGCCTGCGTACATGTGCAAGTCTGAGCCGCAGATGGTGCAGTGTGTGACCCGCACGATGGCGTCTGCTGGGGCTGTGATACCGGGGCGAGGTACGGTGCCCAGGGTGATGGACTTCTTGCCTGTCCATTGAGCGGCGTTCATCTGCTTGCCGCTGGGGTGCGGCTCGTAGCCGGTCGTGGCGATTTTGCTGTGAACAATTAGTGCTGCGAGCAAGAGTTTGCGTACTGTAAATTGCCATACCTAGAAACTTCTGCCATGTTGAACGCTTGTGGTGGAATTGTCGTGTTGAGTTGTCGTTTGTTTTGGCTTATGATTAGGTGAATTCAAGACTACTTGGAAACTTGAACCATGTGTATTTATATTCCCCAAACTTGTTGATCACTTGTAGTATGTGTCAGATAGATATATTCCGCAATATCCGTCCTGATCTTGTTGACTAGCACTTGGGCACCAGCTTTTTGGCCTACTTCATCATGTTTCTGAGCTTGCTTCGTCATTATCGGCCCATTTCGGTCGACTCGGGGGTTGTCTTCATTCTTATATCATGAGCCTTGGCACGAACTGGTCGGTGGGTCCAACTGCCTCAAACAGGAACTATACTTCAAGGCGGTGACCAATATCCCTATACTCAAGAAATCCGGGATGGGGATTTGAGAGCACACTTGTCTTTCCATTTTCACAATCTGACATGCGTCAATTCCATGAATGCAGCCTGTGGAGTTGCAAAAAGTTGCGGCGCAAGCGAGTGGGCAAAATTCTTCCACTCGTCCTTGACACCTAGCTTATTTACGCAAACGTAGGAGAAAGGCACTAATTCCATCAACGAGAAATTAGGGTCTCTTTCCTTATCATGTCTAAGTAGTTCGGTCCGCCGGAAAGCGGCTTCGGGTAGAAACAAGTGGATTCTTGAAGCATTCTAAGATTTCCACTTCAACGGTCGACACCGTTGACAACCTGCGAAGCTTAGAGCCACTTTTGATAGTCCGGGAAATACGTGTCATGTATCCTCTCAGCATACTCGACCACTACCGGATACCCTTTGACAATGCTCTGTGACTCGGGACCACTGTACGCGCATCCAGTCAGCCGAGAGCAAAGCAAATACCGGGAGATAGAGTGCAGACTCACGCAGTACTCAACAAAACAGACACGATGAACCCAAAAAGCGTCGTATCAACCTCGGTCGGCTCATCGCCCCCAAGGAACCAAAACGGCCGTCTCTTCGACTCGGCGCGCCCGGGCGATCCAGCAGCCTGCGACGATCGCACGGCAACCAGGACGCCGTTGATGCTGTCCCAGATCTCGCGCTTCGACGCCCTGATCTCCTCGTCCGACAGCCGCAGCGTCCCCTGCCCGTACAGCATCGCCTTGTGGTTGCGGTACACGATCTGGCCGATGAGCACACGCATGGGCCACGGTATCGAGGACAATGCGTGGTCGCGCATGACGTAGTAGTGGTCTAGCCACCTCTCTTTTGTCTGTCGGGGTTAGCACTGGAATCATTGACCACGGGCTCCGCAACATACATGATAGAAGCACAACTTCTCCTCCAGCAGCGCCCTTGTGGCCAGGTCCCGGGCGCGGTCCTCGGGGGACAGCTTCCCGTTGAGGTCCGGCAGGCCCGCCTCCTCGACGAAGTGCTTCGTGATGAGCGTCGAGTCTCCCATTTGTACAACGTCGTCCCCGCCTGACGGCTGAAACTCCACGTATGGGATCTTCCCCTTCGGGGCTCCCCTCGGGCCGCCTTCCCCCGTGGTATAAGGGACACTTGCGAAGCGTAGCCGGGCCTCGAGCTTGACGACGAACGGGGACCAGACGTGGGCCCCCTGGCCGGCCCAGCCTCTGTGTACTTTGAGGTCCTTGATTGAGCTCATTGTCCAAGAGCTGGATGATGGATTTGCACGTTGTTGTTGGATAGATGGCGCACTGGCGGCTGTTTTCCATGCACGCACGAATTGTTGACGGACTTTGAGACGTGGCAAAGGCAACATTGGTATTGAATGGTTGCATTGAGGTCTCAGGGATGATTCTTGCTCTCCCTTTATGTGCAGTTATCTTCCTGAAGGATCTAGCGTTGCTGGACCCAAACCCGCATGCTGCCTGGAGCTGGAGTCCGAGACACCGAATCTGGCCGCACGCTTATTACACAATCCCAAAACGCGCCGGATCGCGACGTTGTGCCAGGGCCGAGCGAGGGAGCGGCGCTAACATGGCGCGAGGTCACATGTCAAAGCAGCAAGCGAGACCCATCATCGTCTTCCTGATAAATCAGCAAGCATGCATGCGTGTGCCTGTGCATCCTCTGCGCAGGCTCTAGAGAACGCTCCGGTGACTCACAAATGGCTGCGATTGCAGTTGATAAGCCACTGATGACGACCGACTAGCTTGCACGGCCGACATAGAACGAACAGGAGATCGCGTCGCTTCGAAATGTGTTCATTGAATGTCATAAATATTTACACTTATAAGTCATCAGACATAACGCTCATCCGTGATATTAAATGTCCCCAAAATGGGTCATTGAGATCCAGTAAAACGAGCACTCGACCTCTATCCAAAACCTCTACTGAACCTGTGAGTGTGTGCCAGGCATCTGGAAGCCGGTCGCTGTTCACTTCGACTGTCGGCTCCCTTGGCTCTGCCTTTCCCGGTGTGAAGAGGCAATGTCGTGCTTGTACTGTTCCATGACGGAGCCCTCGACGCTCTCCTCAAAGGCGTCGATCTTGGCGGTCGCGAACTTGCGCGCCGGCACGCCCTGCTCGAAGAGCGTGTCCAGCTCGGCAAATGTGCGGCCGGTGGGCTCGGGGACACGGAAGTACGTGTAAACGATGCAGCAAAAGCAGATGCCGCCCTGTGGGAGTATGTTAGCTGACGTGATCGCCATTTCGGGTACGGGCGGGGTCGAGGAAGGGAGGCTGCGCTTACCCAGAAGAACCCGGCAAAGTTGCTCCAGTTCCAAGCGCTGGGGTTGAGCATGTAGGGCGTCAGCACGCTGCAAACGATGCCGACGATGATGTACAGCACACGTCCCAGCACGACGGTCTTGATCTGCAGGCGACGGGAAGACATCTCGGCCACAAGCGAGTAGCAGACCGTTCCGACAGTGAGCTGGTAGCATAGTGCCCAACCGAGCATGATGGACCCGGTGGCAATCGAAGCCTCGGTCTTGTGGGCGGCCGGTACGAGACCAAGGAAGCCTAGGACGAACAGCATGGTGCAGAGCCCGCAAAGTCCATACAGGTACAAGGATCGTCGACCAATGCCGAGGGTCATGAGGCCCCATGCACCAAACACGCCGACCATGTTCATGCCATATTGGCCCAGGGCGAAACCGTATGCCGAAGTGTCATCCAGACCAGCCGACTCGAGGAAGTATGTCGAGTAATTAGAGAAGGAGTTGCCCGAAAGGTTCTGAATAGCCCAAACCATGCACACGATCTCGGTACGACGCAGGTCGTGGCCCTTGAAGCAGTCGAGATAGCTCGCCCCCGACGTCGTCTTCTCCTCGAGGGCAGTGGTGTGCACCATCATTGCAATGGTCTCGTCGGCGTCAAAGTCGCTGTCGTGGGATTTGCTGGTAAGCCGGAGCAGTGATTTCTTGGCCTCCTCGCTACGACCCTTGCGCACGAGCCACCATGGAGATTCTGGCGCGAAGAAGATGCCAATGGCCAGCGGGACGGGCCACATCCACTGCAGGGCGTAGGGAATGCGGTACGCCCACTCGTCGTTGCGCTTGAGCATGGCCATGATGACGCCGATGCCGATCTCCTGGCCGAGGCCCCAGCAGAAGTTGACGTAGGTTGTCAGGTATCCTCGCATGGGAACAGGGCAGACCTCGGAAGCGTAGGTGACGGTAAGGGTCTGGAAGACACCCCACGGGATGCCGCAGAGAATCTCGGCGGCCAGAAGAGTCTGCACGTTCTGGGCGGTGAAAAACAGGGCGGTCCAGCAACAGATCAGGCCCAGGCACGCGATCACGGTCCACCTGTACCCGAAGCGTTCCGAGACAAAACCGTTGATGAGCAGACCGATCAGCTCGCCGACGTTGGCGCCATTGGACAGGCCTGCTTGCCACGCCGCGGGGACTTGGTATGTGCCGTCTGCGAGCTGGACGCCGTACTTGCGGTTGAACTGATTGAATGCGTAGAAGTTGTTGATGAGGCAGACGTCGTAGCCCTCCATGACAATGCAGGTTGAGATGAGCATGCTCCACAAGATGGCCTTGGGGTAGGTCTTGATGCCCTGCAGCAGGGTCATCTTCTGCTCCTTCGCGGTCGCGGACTTGGCGAAGTCGAGGATCTTGTCCATCTTGGCGTCGTAGACCTCTGCATTCTTCTCGGAGTCATAGTCGAGACCCGAGACGGGCACGGCCGCCCCGGACGAGATGATGTCCTGATCTGTCTTGGACATTTTGGCGTGTCTCCTCTCGGGGGTAGACTGCGATCGGCTTGATGGCGATATCGGGGACGCGATGACTATGGTGTTGTGCGTGTCCTGTCGTGGTGCTCGGGAGGAAAGTCCAGGCCAGACAAGCAGAGATTGATAAGGCGAGATGCGGGCGGTGAGGGTTGGTTGACGGGCTTTAGCTCTGGGCCGCGTGCAAAAAAGCGCGAAGAGTGGAAACCACTTTTCTGCCCGTGGACTGATTGAGTGCTGACGCCGAGTCGCCCATTCGCGATTTGAAGAATTTGTCGAGCCAGCAAGTCCACAGCGGCTGGAGTTGAGCAAGGGAGAAGTCGCCTTCTTATCGTTGCGTCAAACATATGACAAGCACCCCCAGGCCTCGTCCTTGGAGTTCTAGAATATCTCGCCCTGGTCGAACTGTCTGCTATTGCCATCTGGAGCCTCAAGGCCGGGCATGGTTTCCCTAGTGCAAAAGTGGAGCGTTAGCGGTGGTCGTCGACGGAAGCGTGACTAATTTTGTTCGAACCATCGAGCCCACCCGAGTCAAAAGGCGAACCAACGCGCGTGGCCTGTCTAGACCAAACAACGGCCGGGGCGACCGTTGTCAGCGCAAACCGGCCCCAAACTGCTGGCTCATCGTCCTTCAACGTCGGTCCAATGGCCTGTCTGTGAGTCTTGATGCTAGAGAGGCAGACGGCCCTTTTTTGTCCTGCAGGTGCGCCGCAACAGGCAAGGCCCGGTCACCCCGCAGCCGTCGGCACTCCACACAAGCTTTTCCGCCCAGGAACTACCCAGGCTCCCAAGATGCCTAGCCCGTGGTGAGGGATGCTCATGGCCAAATCTGTAGCCTTTTCCCGACGGCAGTGCGTGGGTGCACGACCGGCTTGGTGGTGGTTGAGTGACGGGCCAGTGGGCGCGGGTGTGGGGTTGCTGAAATGTCGGGATGGGATGCTGGCGGTGGCCCGTGCTAGCTCGGGTGGCCGGTGTGGGTGCTTGACAATCATCGGCTAGTGATTCGCTTGCTGGCTAGTGCGGGGTAAGCGCGGTGCTGGTTATTGGCCCACCAGTTGCGGGGGAGAGGAAACAAGACTTACCATGACGCCTGTTCCTGCCCTCCTTCCCCCATACTCTTCCAAGGTTCCCCAACTTTTCTGTCGCGTCGTACTTGCCTTGTCCTGCAAAGCACCTGCCCTGGCCCAGCGGGACGGTAAGAAGCAAGTGCTCAGTGCTCAGTGGCCAAGTCCCGGGGCTAACCAAGCGTGTGGCTGTCGGCTTGTCTCGTGGATTTTTACCCCCTTCATCCTTCTCCACTGAGCCTCCTTCACGCCTCAAGCACCATCGAGCCCTTGTCACAGCCGATTGTCCTCTTATTATTTCCCCTTCCTGCTCGGCTTGTCAATTGAATTGTGTCTCGCCCATTCGACTCATCGGAAATCACGCCTCTTTTGGGACATGACTCGGTCGCTTGTCTGCTCTTCGTTTTTCCATTGCGTGGCCCGCTTCGCATGCCCACCAGTCATCGCTGTCGTCGACGCCGCCATTGTCGCACCTCGTCTGCCACTCAGATGAGCCCACCGCGATCGGTGAATCCAGTCGAGTTCTAGTAGCTTCGTCGGGGCCGTAGAGGGTCTCGATTCGAGTCTGGGATCTGCTGTGCATCGGTTCGAGCCCAGCCTGTACGGACGTACTGCAGCATAATTCAGTGATGCCCTCGCCCAGTCCAAAGACAACCATTCGGCCCCAAGGTTTTGTGGCCCCAATTGGATGGTGAGTTCTCAGCCGCGTCGCCAGTTTCTTCTTTCTGAACTTTTGGTTTCCCCCCTTGTTCTTCGGTGACGGTCGTTACTTTTGTCCCAATCTGTCGGTATCAGGCCGTGCCTGATCTACACTACACGTGCAAGTTAGCTTTCCAGGATAGATCGTCCAAGCTAATCAGATCCTTGTCTTACCCGTGACCAGCCAGAGCTGCCGAGATCAACATCTCAAATGTGAGTTGCACAATTGTTCCGCGTCTTGGCCCCTGGCCCGGCTGCCAATGTCGGAGCACGACGATGCACGTACGGGAGTGGGCACGTGGAATCCCGGGCCTGGATTCCATCACATTCGGTGCCATCTCCGGACCCTCGCCCCACCCCTCCGGACACGCTGTCGTCCCACCCCCCAGGCCCACGTAGCACCCTCACAAGATCGTGCTTTTGCTGACAATCGGTGCTCTCTCTCCGATCAGGTGACCGAGTCACTCCTATTTGCGGGCGCTGTGCGTCCAACAACAAAGAGTGCACCAGAGGGTACAAGTTCCGTGTCAAAAATGGTGAGGTCTCCATTCGTTCCTGGGCTTCTTTCCACTTGTGCAGGCTCTGCGCACCATCGTGGCTTTCGCTGACACCGCTTCAAAGGCCCCTTCTCAAAAAGGCAGAGATGGATCAGGACACCCAAGAGATGTAAGTGGGCGTGAACAACGGCGGATTACCCTGTGGCTGACAAGAGTCTGCAGTGAAATTCGTGGATGAGACCGGTGCTGCCTCAGGCGATGGCGACGCAACGCCAGTTGTGGATGCCTTTCAAGATGACTGGCCCGACTCAATCTCAGATGACTCCGGCACCGCCATAACTGCCACTACCGCCACCACGGCCACAGATGGCAGCTGTGGTCTAGGACACCCGACCTCTGGTCAGCCCGTCCTTGCGGTAGGCGTGGGCCGGCAGCGGTCTCCCACAGATCGCTTCCTCATGCATGATGACCATTTGGTGTCTCCTGCGAGAGCCCTGCCGGGTTTCCAGAACCTTACGCTGGCTGTCTCGGATTCTATCCCGGCAACTATGCCCATGGTGATCCCATTTGAGATGGAGGCCGAAGACCCCGAAGTGCGCGCCATGCGAGCTCAGATATATCGTGACAAGGACATATGGCCTCTCGAGAGTCGAGAAGAAGCCATGCTATTTCGGCACTTCATCCAGAAACTTTCAATATGCGTGAGTACTCTGGCCGCCGCGCCTTGTTTCTCGAAACAGCGCTGACAAGTTCGTCTCGCGCCGTAATAGCTTGACGTCTGCGATCCGAATCAGTCCTTCGAGACCGTCGTTCCGCCGCGGGCAGGAACTTGCAAGATTCTGATGAACGCCATCCTGGCCCTGGCTGCCAAACACCTCCACAATACAGAGTCCTACGACCCGTATGCTTCCGATCGGTACCACCAAGAATGCCTGAATACGCTGATCCCAATCCTGAATCATGAGCACCACACCATGTCAGACGAGAATCTCTTCGCTGCCACAATCATTCTTCGAATGTGGGAAGAAATGGAAGTGAAGCACTCTGGCGTCGACGCGCACAGCTATCTGCTCGGAATCCAAGCATTCGTTCACCACAGCGTTGGCGGAGATGGGCCCTTGGGGACGCGTTATCTCATGCCTGGCTCGCTTAGCGGTGCAGCCTTCTGGGTAGGCCTCAGACAGGAGATATACAGCGCCATGATGAACCAGGAGCCCGTGCGCATCAATCTTGTGCACTCCCTCGTGGATAGGTCACTCGTGCCGACCGATGACTATGGCTGGGCAAACAGAGCATGTGTGCACTGCGCCGATGTGCTGAACTTTTGCTTCGGCGATGGTGCGGCGGTGTCGAGAGGGAGTGGCCTGCAGTGGTGGGCTGAGCTGGACGAGTACAACCGAGGGTGGACAGAAAGTCTACCCTCAAGCTTCACGCCGATATTCCGTCGTGAGGCAGCCACGGAGAAGGGGGAGGTCTTTCCAGAGGTCTGGTATCAGAGCGCTTGTCATGGTAAGTGGCTTCTGATATGTTCCCAAATGCGGAGCATCGTAGACCTCCGCCCTCCAGATCAGCTGATAATTGTTTGGGATGGCATGATGCTGATATAATGACGCAGCGCTCGGAGTACAACATCACTTGCTTGCGGAGCTCTTCCTAGTGAGCTTCGACCCCAAGACTCCCCGAATAGGCGGGCAGAGGAAAGAAGCGGCGAAGAGGACCAATGTGAGTAACGTGACCACGCGGCGGAGGTGTCCCGCCAAGTAATACCTTAGCCTTGTCGGCTAAGAATTCCGGCTGACAAGTCGAACCTTTTCCGCAGGAACGCATTCAATGCCTTGTACGCAAAGTATGCGGTATAGGATTATGCAATCAGTGGACGCCGCCGAGCATGTTCACGGCCTGTATGGCGATCGCAGCTTGTGAGTACTGCTCGCTTCCCTTTCCTCCCTACATCGAGAATCAGATCCAGCCTTCCCAAGACTTTCCGAACAGTGTCCGCGAATTCGCCGTAACCTCCAAACAGGGGACGGTTGGACGGACGGAACAGCCAAGAAGAGTGACTGACTTACAACCCATGCAGTTGGAGATCAATTTCAAGACCGCCGGGACCAGGAGGCCTGTATGGACCTCCTCAAGAGGACGGAGAAAGACCACGCACGCCCTACCGAGGCAGTGCAGCAGCAGATGATGAAGTCATGGGACTGGACGCCGGGCTAAAGAGAGCTCTGGCGGAACGGCAGGCGAAAAGATTTGCAAACAAAGGTTGCATACATTTCAAACGCAAGGGCCGCAGTAGCCCTGACACTGACACGGCTGGAGTGACGAAACGCTGCAGCCAAGCGAGAAGAGGGTAAGAATCTCCGGTACGGTGTGCAAAGGAGTTGTGCGTCGGTCCGTCTCGGGTGACGGGAAAAGCCCTGGCACCAATACCCCAAGGACCCTGAGCTCTTGCATCAGAGCCAAATCCCTGGCCAAGAGATGGGAGAGAGGAAGGAAAGGAGAATGCGGAGGATCGACGATGCGCAGGAAACAGCAGAACCTGCGGTCGTCTGTTCGGTGATGACCAGGTGTGGAGTGTCTCGGGCATTTTGACCATTTTTGAATCGGGAGCCAAATTCGGTCAATTGACTAAGGGATGATTGGCTTTCCGGGGCCCACGCCAGCAGGGATCAATCAGTTCGTGTATCCGAAAGAGGTCAAAATTGGCGATTGACACCCTGCCCACGCCGAGCCGTTCCCACCGTGCACGACATCCAAGATCCGAATTGTGGGGAAGGCCAGATCAGACTGATGGACATTTCCCCCGGAGAACGTACGACGTCAACGGCGCATCTGGAATTCCCATCCCCTAGAAACTGCCGGGGCGGGTGGATCGCTTGTGAGTTGGGGAAAGAGTGGACCAGACCACGACATGATGGCAGTCGGAAATGTAGCGCCTAACAGCTCGTGCCTGTCTGAGAGTGTGTCTCCGGTTAAGTTTCGTCCTTGGACTTGGCCTGGTCCGAGACGTCTCCAGTTCTGTCTTTGAAGGCAACTTTCTCCGCTTGTCAATACACGAGTTCTGAGAGGGCGAGACTATCCGATCACTCTTCGTCTACTGTGGTCTGTTGGATATTTAAACCCATCCTCACTTGGAACCTTGGAGCTGTCGTTTGTCAACACTCTACCTTATCCTTTCCATCCAAAAATATTGTCAAAGTCCCATGCTTCAAAGACCTTGAACAGAACAGTCCCCCCCATCCACAACCAGTTCCATTTTGTTTAAGCTTTTCCCCGCCCACAAACCTCCAAAATGGCTCCCGCCGCCACAACGGACTACGAGGTCAAGGATGGCGCCGCCCTGGAGGCGACCTCAGACGCCATCGACGCCGTCAACGTGCTCAAGGACCAGGCCAAGCAGGACATGGCCCAGAGGCTGGCCAACTACGACGACGAGTCCAAGTTCGACAGCGAGAAGGACAAGACCCAGTTCCGGGACTACGAGGCGGCGTGCGACCGGGTCAAGAACTTCTACCGGGAGCAGCACGAGAAGCAGACGGTGGCGTACAACCTGGCGGCGCGGCTGCGGTTCCACAGCGCGTCGCGGGTGCGGCCCGAGATGACCATCTGGCAGGCGATGGAGAAGCTGGACACGCTCATCGACGAGAGCGACCCGGACACGGAGCTGGGGCAGATCAACCACCTGCTGCAGAGCGCCGAGGCGATGCGGCGCGACGGCAAGCCGCGCTGGATGCAGCTGACGGGGCTCATCCACGACCTGGGCAAGCTGATGCTCTTCTGGGAGGGCTTCACGCAGGGCCAGTGGGACTGCGTCGGCGACACGTTCCCCGTCGGGTGCCGCTTCGACGAGGGCTGCATCTACCCGGACACCTTCAAGGGCAACCCGGACTACGACCACCCCGTCTACGGCACAAAGTTCGGCATCTACTCGCCCGGCGTCGGCCTCGACAACGTCATGCTCAGCTGGGGCCACGACGAGTACCTCTACCACGTCGTCAAGGACCAGAGCACCCTGCCCGACGAGGCCCTCGCCATGATCCGCTACCACAGCTTCTACCCCTGGCACAAGGAGGGCGCGTACCGCGAGCTCATGAGCGAGAAGGACCATGAGATGCTGAAGGCCGTCAAGGCCTTCAACCCTTATGACCTGTACTCCAAGAGCGACGGTATCCCCAGCGTCGAGGAGCTCAAGGTTAGTAATCATCTTACTTCTTCCCCTAATACCATCGTCTGATCATCTGCTAACTTGTCTTCCACTTTAGCCATACTACCTGGAGCTCATTGATGAGTACTTCCCACAGAAGGTCATCAAGTGGTAGATGCTACCCGGAGGGATTTTGATGAATGAACTTGGGTCATGATAGAAAGCGATTTGATTTTTGTTACACAGAGAATATCTAGAAGCCGGCCACAAATCCTGGGCTCGGTATTTCTTTTTCCATTATGATTGTCTATTTCTTTGGTACGGAATGGTTCAGGACGAAACCAAACAAGGTTATGCCCCAAGCTGGGCTCCTATATAAGTAGCGCCACAATGATCTGGCAGCGAATACATTTTATGATGTATATGTTACCCACATGTCCTTTATTTCTGTTGTGATTGATTCAAGTCTTAGAAGAACAGAGATTCGGTAAGTTAAGCGTCGAACAACGCGAGTTTGACCTGTAAATCTCATCATTCTAAGTTTCAAGCCACAATGGCTCCTAGGAGGCAACTACTCTTCAATTTACCTCCCGAGACACTTCAACTCGGTGTTTTCATATTTAATGCGCAATAATTCCCAGCCAATCTCAGATGACAGAATTATGTGTACAAGCTTCATCTTTTCTGAACGCATACTGCACACCATAGCCACAGGCTCTCCTCCATCGCATGCTATGGCCTGATTGATTCATTTCCGGTCTTGGAACCGCCGGGAAGGGCTAAAGAGGCCCGAGGACTCAAACTCAACAGAATTGTAAAGGGTCGTTGGGGTGGACTAATCTGTGGAAGGGATGAGAATCCTAACATCTGTCCAAGTGTGCTACGAGTGCGACACAAACACGAGTATCTGCAGGGGCTCTGTGTATGTGCAACCAGGCCCTACTTCCGAACTGCCGTGTTGTGCCGCCTGGCCTCAGCATCTGAATGGTCATGGCCTGTGCGACGAAGTTCATACGGCCCGAGTACGGCGGCATGCATCGTGACCGCGTTCGGCCTCGAGTGCCGTCAGGTGCTCAATCACTTGCACGGCTCTCGAGGTTGCCATAAGATCGACCAACTGCAGTACCACAGCGGCTTCTACGGCAAGCGCTACCCGCGTCTCGACTTCATCATGGCATTCTTGCAGTGGCAGATCTCTCGTAGGTCTCGCCGTCTCGCCTGTTATCGTCATACATGGGATGCACAATCCTACGCAGTTCATCAAGCCACCCGAGCTATTCCCTCATCTTCACCAGAAGAACGTCTCCCTCACCCGCGTCACCCCAGGCACAGCCTCCTTCTCTCTATAGTCAGTACGTACGCATATATCCCAAGGTTGTTCATGAGCCTAGCTTCTGACATTTTGCTGCCTGGCTCCTGCAGAAGAATGGAGTACATTCTATATACCGAGGCCTGCATCTCTGTCTTGTCATATCGAGGGTCCAGACAGAAGGGGAAAGAAACCTCATGAGCTCGAACATTAAGCTTCCCGTTCGATCGCTCATGAATATATGCCGGTACACATGCCCGTATATCGTTGACTAGTGCTCGCTGGTGTTTCTCGGGAGCGAGCTCGCTGCTATATCCTGTACGGAATCCCGTGGAGCCTCCAATTTGCCAGAAGTCACACTCACTGATGTCGTTGCCAGGTGGAAGTCCTTCTACTCAGGCCCCAAATTGACAGGTTGGTAATTTAAACATAACATTGCACGGTCTGCCTCGGCGGGCTTTCCCTCAGCTGCGGACACCACGGATCAAGTCGGATCGTGACCAGACGAGGGAGTCAGAAGACATTGAGTTCACTGAAAGATAAGTTCACGAGTAGGTATTCTGCTCCAAGTTTGGTGCGGATGAGGCGAGATTTAAAGACAGGTTTGCGACTCAGCTAAAACGAAGAGTATACAGCATAATGAGTTGAAGATCTGCCAAACCTTGGCCTTGCTTTAGTTTCAGCGACACCAACCTCAGGGTACACATATGTGCTGCACACAAACCTTTGGAAGCCTCAGGATGTCGCCATTGTTGAACAGGGTTTTTCATATGGCTACAACGAAGCATACATAGACAACTGGGCGCATTGCAAGTTACGAGACCTCGGACTGCGAGTCCGGGCTTAATCATTCTAAGGAGCGGAAAGATCTCCGCTAGTTACAAGTGCGAAACTTGGATGGTGCCTCTTGATAATATGTGCTCGGAACTTGTGGACCCATAGAGACTTCACTTTGGCGCAGTCAGCCGACATGTACAGCCCAATGCACTTACGCCAATCCGATCGGTCCCAATATGTCGTTGTAGCAGGCAGCACAAAGTTGTTACCATCAGCAAAAGTTCTGACAAATTCATCCAGCAGCATGGAGTTACCCGTGCCAACTTCAGCAGGTGGAACCCCGATCTTGGCAATACTTGCATATTGCTGTAGTTCGATTACGATGTCTGCATTGGGATCTGAGGTCAATCAGACCTGCGACAGGCTGCAGTTTGCACAGGCTGAACTTGTTGGCGTCGTACCGGCGCGCCTCGAAGTAAAGTGAGATGTTGAGGGCTGGCGAGGTGACTCTTTGCTCCAATTGAACGCCTGAGTAGGATGGGAGAGTCCTGAAAGGCAACTGCGCCAAGCGTGTTACCCAAACCAGGCACGTAGCCGATATTCTGAACGTTGAGGACGAGAGACAGAACAGGACAGGAGACTGAGAGGAGAAATTACTGTTACACTGCAATCTTCTGATGTGTTACCATTTGGTTCAAAAACTGAGGGGTCAGCTTTTTTGTGTTGCACCCATGCAGGTGGCTGGTTTGCATCCTTCCCGGTCTCCTGCAGCAGCTCAATATTACACGGCACCAGCAGTCATCTCCGAGTCCACACCGAAGCTGATTCGCCAAGCGTGGCGTTCACGGCGTAACTCCAAGAGTAGCGGCATGCGAGCTATCGTAAAATGGGAAAAGCAACGTTGATCAACCAGCGAGACACTGTGTAGCCCCCCACCTTAAGGACGCAATTATGCGGCCAATGGGCGCAGCCTTGACACGCACGCACGCACACATGCACACACACAAACACAACTTTTCTGACCAAATTGCGGCTGACTTCCATTGCGGCTGACAGTATCTTGCATTTGCCCCGCGGTGATGCTGATTAAGTTCCTGGTGAATGGCCCGGGGTGACGCAAGGCTCTGGGTCCCGAATATATAAGGCTCTGTCGCGTCCTTCCATGACTGATCGTTGATAATCGAAGTCGGTGAGGACTTCAAGAAAAGCCGATCTTTATTTTTCACCTTGCCCATCTCGATATGAGTCCTGACTCAAGTTCCAATATCGGCCAAGCACCGGGCCACACCGGCAAGAAACCAATCGGCGATAAGGAGGACGAGTGGGACACAAATAGTGTTACGAAAGGCTACTACCGAATGACGGCTAGCGACGCTCAGAAGTATGTCGAAGGCCTCCGACAGAAAGGTGCAACAAAGGAATTGGAGAAATTGGAAGATGATGAGCGTCGCATCATGAAAACTTGCGCAAGATTGTCCAAAAATACCAGCACGAAGAAGCTGCAGAAAGACTTGAAGAATTCGTTTCAGGAGTGGTGTAATGAAATGGCGGCCAAGGAGGAAGGTAAGAAAATGGGACACTTATGTGCTGGTCGGGAACGCCTAGTCAAACCGAAAATATGCTCTGGGCCAGGTCAGGCTCCTACGGAAGTAGGAGACGACGACGATCCTGCACATGACATGAAAGCCTATTTCATCTTCTTCGAGAAGATTGGAAAAGACTGGAAAGGCAAAACAAAACGGGACCCGGGCTTTCCGGAGTATGAGGAGTTTCCCGACCAAAGAATCTCCATCCACGACGCTCTAAACAGCGATACTCACAACCCATTCAAACCGACTCACGATGAGACCGGTAACCCATATTTGCGGTACATCCATATCCCAGCAAATCACACAGGGGTAAGCAAAGACGTGTTCGCCTCCGAGGATTCGACATATACTAACCTCATCAAATGACATCGAGCAGTGGATAGAGGTATGTCTGGTTCTGATGGCGCCTCCAATTGGAATCTTGTATCTAATTTTGACTTTGAGTAGAAAGCTATGGCTCGATACCACGAAGAGGACAGAGACATACCAGAGAAGCGGGTGAAGACCAACAAGACTCTATCACGCCAGTTCTGGAAAGGCCAGTTGCACGGCAGCGGACTGGGCAGAAATCCGATTCACGCGACACATATGAGATCTCGTTGTTCCGTCATTCCAGGAGGTATGCATACAGTTCGGAGTGCTGAAGCAACTGAATTCACCAATCCTACCACCTGTCAAGTAACGCGGCCACCAGAAAATATACTCACTTAACGCAGAAATACAATCACTATTTGGGGAGCAGAAAGAGAGCTCCAACATCGCGAGATCACAAGGCGGGGTGCAAGGAAAGAAGTCCCCAAGTAAAGATTTGGCTATATTTGTAAGTCATGATTGCTGCTACAGGAGTGATAGCTAACTCTTCTCAGATGCCATATCTTCATTGGGAGATGTCTGGCCGGAGAGCAAGGATGTCAAAGGCCGTGAAGGAAATGCTGGAAGAAGAGGAGACCAAGAATGAGAACTCAAGGTACCGTGCTAAAAGATCGGCAACAATAAAGCAAGACGTGGAAAGGTACAAGAATCTGTTCCAGGTCAAGGATCACGAGAATTATGTGATGGCGAGGAAGATGCTGAAGAAAACGATCAAGTAAGTCTGGACAGGCATGCCCCGAAAATTAGTCCAGTAGTGGCTGACCTTGGTGTAGCCCAACAAAGCTTGGTCAGTACCTTCTGAACCTGGCACGGCTATGGGACGCCATGGACATGGAACTCGATGAGAGGATGGTAAAACATGGCCTGATATCGCAGAATACCAAGGGTAGTGCCCCGGAACCATTGCTGCATATCCGCCGTACTCTAGACCAGTCCTACTTCCTCAACCTCAAGGACACTTCACAACGTGATCTAGACCAGGTTGTGTATCGAGCAACCAAGGGATACGGCAGCCACACCCGTGTTGTGATGGTTGACCAGTTGTGGCTCTGGGTCCTAGATGAACGTGAGTTGGTATCTATGTTTTATGCATGCTCACGATCCTTCAGCCTGACGAGAACTTACCATTAAATTTCAGATACCGTCATCACGTCCTTCCCGAAACGCTGGGGACGAAACAAACCTGACTCATCTGGGATCCATAAAAGCCTTCGAGAACGACTGGGTCAAGCCGATTGCAAAATCATGTCGGCCTGGCACTTGGGTAAGTCTGACCTACCCGAGAATGCGTGCTGTTGGAGAAAAAAGGACTCAGTTTTCCGTAGCATCCATCATCATCGACCAATGCTCCAACGTGTTCTTCGACCGGACAAAGCCCCTAGATCTCCGGCCTGAGGTGATGGACATCTTCGCCGAAACGCTTGGTGACGTCAACCATTACACTACAATTGCTTTCAAAGTATTCTGGCACAGCGTCGACGTATTTACCCGAAATCGCGACAATCGTACCTCACACCGGCAAAGCCAGAAATACCTCGACATCAACCCAGAGGGTACGTTGCTGAAGGAGGCTCAGGACATCGTGGAGGAATTGAAAATCATGATCGGCATCTTTTCACAACAGCTGGGCGTTGTCAAGAACTTCCAGAAATGCCTGGAACACATGAATGGAGACCCAACGACTCGTTCAAGAGCCCCTCACTTGACCAAAGCATTCCTACATCACGTGGCTGCTTGGGCAACGGAGCATGATTCGTCGTCTGAAGTGAGCAAGGAGAAGCCCGTTTCGTTGGCCGAAATGGAATTCCTGGAAGACTTGGTAGAGGAGGTGGAAAATCGGAAGTCAGAGATCATGGATTTGGAAAGTGCTGCACTTCAGACCTGCCACCAGGCGAGTTGATCACTAAATTTTCAGCGCCTCGTGTTGACCGCTAACACAAAAGCTTAGCTGCAAGACTTGTTGTCCCTCAAACAACAGCAAGCAAGCATAGTCGAAGCAAAAGCCGCACTTGACCGGGCAGACCAAAGTGTTGAACAGGGAAAGGCCATAATGGCGTTCACGATCATAACGATCATTTTCGTAAGATGAACTATGTGGGATGACGGAAGTTGCAGAATCTGACATACTTCATAATGCAGACACCCCTAGGATTCTTCACGTCTTTCTTCGGTATGAACCATTCGCTCACTGGCGCCGACTGGATGACACTTGCCAATCAGTGCATCTACATGTGTAAGTCTCTTTTACAAGGCTCTCAATTGTATAGAACCTGAAGCTCATGGCTCGGCAGTCTGCATCTCCGCAGCAATCATCATTTCCGCCCTGTCACTAGTGTTCAAAGGCAGCCAGCTTCGGCGTTTTCTGAACTCGTTGAGAGACCCGAAAGCCAGGTGGCATGACCTGGAAAGAGCATGGAAAGGCTGGAAAAGACGGCGGCACGACGAAGAACCCAAGCCTGGTGAGAAGACAGCCGGAAAGGAAGACTCGAGCCAACAAAATGGAACGAATGATGCGAGGGCTGTTGGGGACACAGACGAGGGCCGGCCAAATGAAACGAATGGCGCCATGCACTACTTCCGTCAATTCGGCCCGCTGAAAGGCTCCAGGTTGAGCAAACTGACCAGCCGCAACAGCCAGTTGAGAAATGACGTGGAGAATTCTATGTCCGAGCACAACCGTGAGACGGCAAGGCCCAAGACGGCATATGGATGAATAGTGGGCAAGCTGAGCATCCTCGTGATCTTCCGCACGTTAGGTTGGGCGTTTCCTTTTGTGGCATCATAATATAGAATCATTTCCCAGTGTTGTCGTCCTTGAAACATCGTTGCTCGTGTCCTGGTAGATCAGGAGGGTGTGTGCGTCTTGTATCCAGCACGATTGTGTGAAGACCCTTCGTCATCGCCATCCAATTGTCACAGAGTGTCACAGATACCTCTGCGTGTGCAAGGCGTCATGAGTCAAGAACAGCAGGAGGTGGTGTTGATTACCTGTGTGAGTTAAGATCTGCCCAGTGCCCACTCCAATATCGGTCCGAGCAGTCAACGAACCCCAAGATGTCCTTTTTGTCGATCGGTAGACAATCCATCAGACCTTTCTTGATTCATCACAACATTAAAGCACGTCATGCTTCTGATCTTCCGGGGCCAGGCTTGTTGGCCAATATATGTTCCGAAGGTTTCAGCCCTCCCCGTCTTGTTTCGAAACAATGGTCGAGTTCCTGATCTCGGAATGTACCGCAGTGTTATCACGGGTGAAAACTTATGCGCTGGCGTGACCAACCCCAACGGGCACAATAGTTATCCGTGAGATTCGGCAGGTGGTATTCGGCCGGGACCCAGCACACACTGCAGGCGTTCAAGGTGACGAGCCACGGTGTTCATCCGTTTACAGTATGTTTCTCCCGAGAGACCCTGGTAGCCCCGCAATTCATGCATAGTCTTGCCCCACAGCGTTCATGTACCCCAGCTATTAGCTTCCCCTATCGTGAGGAGAGAAAACTCGTTGGAACGCTAGATCTCCCGGACTTTTACCGGTACCTCGCAACAACCTTTAGAGGAAACACACATCGTCGAATCAAGAAAGTCACAGGGCTCCGCTAGATCTGAAGCGGCATCTCGACATCTGGACTCTACCGCCGTTAACCTTATCACTAGTGGTTATACTGGGCCGTTCAGCTGGACGGGCTCGAGTCGATCCCCGTACCCCGGCGGGCCCTTGCAGCCTTGGTCACTTGGCGGTTATTTGTTTCCCCCTGATTATCACCCTCCGATCGGTGGGAATGCCTGTTTCGGGACAAGCTGAGAAAACATCTGTCAAAAGGCACAACCCGAGGCTATGCCAATTTCGAGGCACATGTTGGAGTGGGGGAATTGGAGGGAAATACCATGGCAGGTGGGTGGCATACGCGTATTCATGCATGGGTTCACTCTTAGCTGGCTCGTCGCTTGCCGACACCAAGTACCGCCCCGATTCATTCAACCATGAGCCAGTGTTCTGGAGGGGAACCCCGGCCCCGTTTGAATGACTTGGGTCCCAAAAACTGGAGTTGTTAACCTGGGGAAAAGCGCCGACTCGGGGTTATTTTTCATTTGGGCATACGTCAGCTCTGGCGATCAACTGGCCCGAGCAGGGGGATAACTGCGGTCTTTAAGATGTTGTCATCCCAGCTTAAATGCTTTAGGTGCTGATTTTGAGATACCAAGCTTCTGCATCAAACCTACGATCACACAGCCGATCTACGGGAGATCTACAGGATGAAGTCTCAGCAGTACTTCGGCTCCTTGTCCAAGGGCGTGGCCTTGGTGACCTCTTTGGCTGCCAAGGTCGTGCTTGGTCAGAACAGCTCCGACTTCACGACCCAATGCACGAGCCTCGCCGACACCCTCGCCAGCACGATCCCCAACGCGACGGTCCAGTCCACCGTTCCAGTCACTGCCGGCACAAACCTCACATTCAACGTTGACCCTACCTGCGACCCGGCATACCAGGTCGTCGACAGTGATGTCTGCCGAGTGTCCCTGTTCGTGCCTACCTCTGACCGGTCCAACATCAGCATGGAGGTGTGGCTGCCCCCGGCCGAGGCTTGGTCAGGTCGTTTCCTGAGTACTGGTAACGGCGGCCTGGGTGGCTGCATACCGTATGAGGATTTGGCATACACGACTGCTCTTGGTGAGTCCCTTTGACAACCCTCATGCTTCCTTGTGACCTTGCGAAGGCGGTGATCTCAATCCATTACGTTGAGGTTCTCGCAACGCGTCTGAACGTCGACTGACAACCTCGAAGGTTTTGCCGCCGTCGGTACCAACAACGGCCACGATGGCAACAAGGGCGACGCGTTCTACAACAACGAGGAGGTCGTGCTTGATTTCGCCTACCGCGCGATGCACACTGGTGTTGTGCTGGGGAAGGAAGTCTCGGAGGCTTTCTATGGAAAGCCGCATGACCGGTCGTACTACCTCGGATGCTCTACCGGCGGTCGCCAGGGTTTCAAGGAAGCCCAGGATTTCCCAGATGACTTTGATGGTCTTGTCATTGGCGCTCCGGCCTTGGCATTCAACAACCTGTCCTCGTACTCTGGCTCTTTCTACGTCAAGACTGGCCCGGTGAACTCATCAACCTTTGTGCCACTGGACTTGTGGCCAACCATCCATGAGGACATTCTCCGGCAATGTGATGGTATTGATGGCTACGTTGACGGCATCCTTGAGGACCCATCTCTTTGCAACTACCGCCCCGAAGCCCTCATCTGCGCCGGCAACTCGACCAACTGCCTGACTGGCGAGCAAGCCAACACTGTCCGAGAGATCTTCACCCCCATCTATGGGTCAGATGGGCAGATCACATACCCAGCGATGCAGCCTGGCTCAGAGGACCTCGCCCCAAACATCTACTACAACGGCGAGCCCTTCAAGTACACAACCGGCTGGTTCCAGAATGCCATCTACAACGACAAGAACTGGGACGCAGCCACCCTCGGCCCCAAGGACTACGCCTTCGCACACGCCAAGAACCCCGGCAACGTCGAGACCTGGAAGGGCGACCTCTCCGCCGTGCGCGACAGGGGCTCCAAGATCCTGCACTACCACGGCGGCACGGACGCCATCATCTCCAGCTTCATCTCCCCCCGGTACTACGACCACGTCTCCCGGACCATGAACCTTCCCTCTTCGGCCCTGGACGAGTTCTACCGCTTCTTCCGCATCAGCGGCATGGGCCACTGCACGGGCGGAGTCGGCGCGTCGTTTATCGGGCAGAAGGCCGAGGCTAACGCCACCCTCGACCCGGATGGCAACGTCTTGATGGCGATGGTCCGCTGGGTCGAGGAGGGCCAGGCCCCTGATAGCATCTTGGGCACGGCGTATGTCAACGAGACCAAGGACTCTGGTGAGATTGCGTTCCAGAGGAGGCACTGCAAGTATCCTCTGCGGAATGTCTACTCGGGTACCGGGGACGCAACGAAGCCAGACAGCTGGAACTGTGTGTGATCCAAGGGCACCTTCCAATGTATTTCAAGAGCACTCGAAGCTGGGCGCAGTACATATGGCTTGTTGAATGGATAATATGGGGGCACTGGTTCGAAATCAACCTGTACATACTTCACAGTAGTTCTTCCATCACATTTTTCATGTGCTCATGAAAATGATTCTGAATCCTTTCTCAATACCTTAGCAGACACTGCCGATATGCCGAACAAAGACCGAGTCAGTGAGATGGGGCACCAATTTGGATCGATGGCTCCACCCGTTCCTGCAGGCCGGGTCTCCACAGGGACGCTGTACAATAGCAGCAGCTTTTCAATAGGCTGATTGAAAGCCCACTCTTTTCGACCTCACCTCTCGATTGTACAAGCCGCTTGCCCCCAGTAACAACCAGCATGTCCACCTCCACAGGCCCCAAACTCGTTGTCGTCGTCGGCGCAACCGGCAACCAAGGCGGCTCCGTCGCCCGGCGATTCCTCCGCGAGGGGCCCGACCGGTTCCGTGTCCGCAGCCTGACTCGGGACCCCGGCAGCGGCCCCGCCAGAGACCTAGCCGCCCTAGGCGCGGAGGTGGTCCGCGCCGATCTCAACGACGTCCAGTCCCTCGAGGCGGCCTTCAAGGGCGCCAACGTCATCTTCAGCGTCACGAACTACTGGGAGCCGTTCTTCCCGCCTAACATCGAGGCGAGCCGGGCGCAGGTCAAAGCGCTGGGGCTGGGTGGCGTGAGGGAGTATGCCGGCCGTGTGGAGCTGGCGCAGGGGAGGAACATCGCTGACGCCGCTGCTGCGACGGTGGACTCGCTGGATGCGAATGGGTTTATCGCCTCGACACTGAGTCATGCTGGGCGGTGTAGCGGTGGGCGGCTCAAGGAGCTGTACCACTTTGATGCCAAGGCTGAGGTTTTCCCTTACTACGCGAGGGAGAAGCATCCGGAACTGGCGGCCAAGATGAGCTGTGTCCAGACGGGGTATTTCATGACGAGCCACCGGATCCTGCCCAACTCGTACTTTGTCAAGGTTGGTCAGACCTGCTCCTCTGCTGGACCCGAGACGGCGCCGCAGATGCTGACCCAGACGGCCCATGTTACAGGTGCAGGACGGCAGCTTCGAGATGCGCTTTTGTACTGACCCAGGCCGGCTTGTGCCCCAACTAGACCCGGTCGCAGACATGGGTACCTTCGTCTATGCCGTGTACCAGATGTCCTCGTGGTGCGGCAAGGAGTACATGGCAGAAGGCACGACGTGTACCTGGCCTGAATGGATTGCCGCGTGGAGCAAGGCGACTGGCAAGCCGGCTAGATTTTGCGAGGTGACAAGAGAAGTCATGGTGAAGGCCTGTGGGGACGAGGACTTCGGAGGAGAGATTGCTGACATGTACGATTACGCATCTAATCCGGGGTATGCCGGAGGAAAGACATTGCTGAGGGCGGTGGATCTGCAAAAGGTAAGTGATCCGAGTCTCAAGCGTCACCAAAGGGAAATTCAGTGGTTAACGCAGCTTTAGGCCGGTGTTGATTGCCCCATGACGGATTTGCAACACTGGATGATGAAGCAAGACTGGTCAAGCGTCCTGGCCAAGTCGGCAGTCGACTCGGAGTGAAAATACCTTATAATGAGTGCTGATCGGCGATGATGGCCCTGAGCTTCAACCATAAAGTGGCAAGATCGGGAGATTGAGAAGAGATACTCATCCGAAAATTTACAACGGAATCGTAGCAAGATGAAATTGCCAGAGAAGATGATTTCCTGAAGTGTATCCACTTTGACCATTCCTCTCGATATCCAGTCACTGTTGGCATTCACAACATTCCACCTCCGCCCCACCTAGGTGTCAAGCAAAGCCTGTTGTATGGACATTTGCAGCTGTCTGCCCATGGGTAAGAAGGCTTCCACCTCATATTGCTGGGTCTCCTCCAGTGACGACGCTAAAGACTTGAAAGCATGCCAACGGGCTTTCCCAGAGTGGCTTGACTACAAACCACGGCAGATCCTCGGGACTCGTTGGCTAGACTGCCACGGCGCGTAGGACCAAAGCCCTCGCTACTCGCCGAAGATACCTCCACCGTCTTTGACTCCGAACTCACCGCCGAAACAAGCCCTGGGCGCTACGTTCATTCGCATGACGGCGTCGACGAGCACACCACTACCCAGTATGAGCCCTATGTCCGAATCACTGGATTTGGTATCGACTACACAGACTGCGACAATGTTACATTCCCTGGCTTTAGACCTATGCGACACTACTTGACTCGCGAAGCGGCCCGTTACTTGGTGTCTGAACGCCGTTGGTCTAACCAAGGCGATTCTGTCGACATCGTCGGCCAGAAGAACGTGATTATCATTTTCGCTTGCTTTGCCACAATCGAGGAGTGTTTGCTGGACGAGAAGTCCGAGGATGAGCTTCGGGTCGCTGGACCATTCAAGGCTCTGATGAGCCTGCTGGGTATCCGCCACACCCCCAATGGCCTCCCTCGTAGCCATATGTTCCTCTGTGGAATCCAAACAGCATTTGTCAAGAGTCGTTCTGCAGTGATCAATTTCCATCTGGAAAACGGCAATGGACCACCACCGGAGCCAAGCGATCTACCAGGACTGGGCAGGATGCTCCTTGATGTTATGGACAGACACATTGCATTCCTGCGGACCAAGAAACCACTGGCTCGTCTCCGCGGGTCGATGCCTTTCGAAGAGCTGTTCAGACTCCGTCTGGACCAGGTTAAGAACCAGCTGTGCAACAAAAAATGTGTTGAGCAGTGCTGCTTTACGACCTTTGTCCCCACCATTCCTGCTCACCAGCAGACATCTTGGCCACGAGCGGGGATGGCCACGTCATGGGAGGCTGCTCAGGCAAAGCTGATTGCAGAGCAGTCGAAACTGGCAGTCGACTCGAACCCCAGCGAGCATCCAGAATACCGCCAGCCTGCGGATTCAGAAGTACCCAGAAATGCACGCGGTTCCTCGGGGTCAGCCCCGATTTCAGCATCCCTGGCATCCCTGCAGACGGACCGGTGCGCTCTTTACAATCTGCTCTTAATTCAACAGCAGGTGACCGTGACACTGGACGCCCTGATGCTCTGTCTGGTTTGCGGATCTTCAAGACCGCTGCCCGCCAGGTCCACAGAGCTATCAAAGGCTCCAGAGACAGCATGGATTTCAGAAACTTCATTGGCCAGATTGAACATGAAGTCAAGCAGTTTCATGCTGAACTCCAAGTGGGACAGAATTTGCCCACGGCTGGCCCCACCGGCGTCACTGGCATTTTCGGAGCCGAGCCTGACGTGCTTCTGCAACGCCAAGATATTCGTTCTCTGATGACCATTGGCTTGTTGCTGATCCGCGACCAGTGGAACGTGCGACATCTTACCAACGACTCTCGCCAGAAGATCTTGGGCGACATCCAAGATGAGCTGCGCCTGATCGAAAACGCCGCTGACCGAGTCTGTTCAGACGAGTGTTGACCAGAAAGTGGTTAAATATGGTGGACATGTATCCATTACGCCGCGAACATACTAGCTGCCAAGCAGTAGCCGGAATGTTGTCAGCGGGTGGGAAGATGTCAAGTCTAAGGGCATGATTTCATGTACAACAAGATGGTTTTGACGGGGGTGTCCCTGTGATATTAATCGACTTCGAGAGGATCGGCGGATGTTGTGTGTTCTTGATGAGCAATTATAGAGCTGGACGGGTGCAAGAGATAAGCTTGACCCATGAAGCTGGCCGTGGTCATTCCCGAAAACACAGCCCTCTTCCTCCTTCCACTTGATGCCAAGGCTATGCACCAAATCCACCAGTAAAGGCACCTAATTAGTCTTGATCTCCCATGAGAAACAGACAAGGTAGAAGTCAATGATGTACAAACTGTCCCTTCTGTGGTTGTCATTCCTGTACCGGTCTGTAGCCAAATTCTTATCTTGACAGACTGTTTGCTGACGCATCTGAGCAGGCAAGCGTTTTAATCCTGCATTCGGTTATGACCGTGTAGCGGCGGAGCCATCGACCGCCGGCATCGCCAACTTAGACGGCTAGAGATCCGAGCCGCTGACGCGAGCTGCGGTTCGAGACGGCTCCAAAGAATCACCGCTCGCCCAGGTGGCGGGTCCAATGCAATCGACTACGTTAAGCCGGCTACCGCAAAAGCCCGGCGCAGGGCATACTGTGGCTTCCTCTGCATTATTCTCACCGAGGCCACCGTCCTCACCCGCGCTTCTACAAACTGACCCATCCCTAACGAATGGGACGGAGAATCCACCCGAAACCAGCCTCACTCTCTGCAATAGCGACACTGCATCCGACACCAGGGTTCCGGATATATCGGACCTTTCCCTCGGCGAGGATGTGGCCGACCCACATAGGTCTGGGTCGCGGCGCGATCCTGGGCCTCTCACATCGTCGCGCGGGGAGAACTCTCAGCCACGGGAGAACTCGGCGTGTCTTGACCTAGCCGACTAGGCCGACGAGTGGGACAAGAAACATCCACTTTCGCTTGAGGTGATCAGACGCCGCCTACACCGTCGTCGCGCCGACGAACTTAGCCCGCAGCGGACACGTAGCCCAGAGCGTTCTCCAACGCCTCCTGCTACAGCACCACCGCGGCGAGTGTCTGAGTCGCCGAGGGCTGTGCAGCAAGACGAGCCGGCTCCCAAGGGTAGGGCCTCATGCGAGGCAAAGCGGACACCCACTCCTGGGGGCGCCGCGTGTGGTAAAACCGCTGTGGGCATGGCCCCCACGACAGATGGAGCCTGCCGCATCAGCGATGCAACGGAGCCGTCAACAATACCGGAAGGCCTGCCGGGGCCACCTGGAGTGCAACGCCAAGAGCAGAATCCGTCAAATCCCGCCGACACCGCCTCATGTGAAGCGAGGCGGGCGTCAGAGGACACCACACGTAGCGCAACTGCTGAGATAGCCAACGCGGTATTGTCTGGGACTCGCCGCGAAATCGTCACCGTCGACGTGCAACGTCCTCCCGAAGGCATCGAAAGCGAGCAGGGCGGAGGAGACGTTGAAGCCACGCAGGCATCCAACGGCAAGCAAGGTTCTCCTCCCCCTCTGCGATGCCAGGACCCCGTGAGTGGAGAATTCAGCAATAATAAAAGCCAACAGTGTCAGGTCAAGCTCAGGCGAAGTCCAAGGAAGGCCGTGCCACGCCGCAGGATCACGGACTTGACCGAGGACGAGGACGCCGATATGGCGGGGACCGGCGGGGACCGGCGGCAAGAACAACTCTCGAACCGGTCTGCGCCACCGCCGTCGTCGTCACGGTCGCATCGAAACAGAGGGCATAGACATGTACCAGCCTTCTGAGGGCAGTGAAAAGGAGCAAGACAATGGCGGCGATGATATCCAACTACCACCGCGCAAGCGGCGCAGGACCGCTACTGGACGGCAGATTCGCTACGTCGGCAACACCCCCGGATCACGACTAGTTCACACATCACATCTCACCCAAGAGCACTCACGCCGCAACATCCCTAGTCTGCCATACTCTCAAGGCTCCGACAGTTCCGACAGTGAGACTCCCCAAGCAGCCTTCCAGCAATGGCCACTCAGCGATGCAGTTCTTAAACGCGCAGTGATAAACGGTAAAGCCACCTTCCAGGTTCAGTTCACCTGGGTCCCTTGCGTGAATCGCAAACATAAACCCAATATGGCCAGGAGCCTGCCGTCCAACACGCTAGCCAAAAGCCACCTTCCGAAGGGGCGAATGCGAACAAGGACTGCCTGGACACTTGAGGAGGAAAACCTTGTCGTCGAGCTGAAGGAACAGGGACTTGAGTGCAATACTATCTACCAACGATTTAAAGAAGTGTTTCCAGAGACGAACAGGCGTGTGGGAAATCTACAGGTGCGATATTGTACCAAGTTAAAGGAAAGACGATAGAGCATGAGCAGCCATTGATAGGAATGAGTTGAGGCCTAGAGTATGCTCCCATCCGTGCACGTTACACTTTGCGTGAAGTCTAACTATAATCCGTTAAGGTGCGCAGCTCGCTATGTTGCGCAGCTCTGGAAGCGTGAACAGGTGTCTTAAAGGTCTACTCCAGCTTTGATTCTAAGACGACATAAAGCTGAATGATTAAGTTTCGTGGCATATCATAATCTTGTAAAATAATGCCTCTTATTGCGTATGTGTTTGGTTCAGGTACCCAGTTGCTCAATCTAAGGGAATGGGATTGCCTCTCGAGCCAAGCGGTTCTTAACGCGCTCCGGTGTCCCCAAAGTCAGGAAGTGTGTGGGCTTTTAGCCACAACACGGTCCATTCAACGCACTTTCCCAAACGGCCAAAACCGGAAGAGGAAGTATGGGATGTTGCAGAAGCAAGGAGAGGACGCCTTTGCTAGAGAAACACAATCCGTGGTGGAAAATGTTTCAAAAAAGTACATAATGCGGCTCGAATCGCTTGGATTCTACCTTGACCGACGAGATTCCCTGCAAGATTAGACGAATCTGCTTTTGCGGCTCTGGACTGCGCATTGTACCTGCGGAACAATCTCCGAGACTGACGCTGGGCGGTGCGACTGTTGGTGAGGGGATCTGCTGCAGTGACTAAGGCAGGGTTCGCAGGACACATAAACTGTCCGCCTCAAGTCTCTCGAGCTTAAGGTAGAAACCGCCATTCTTGCCCGACGGATCTTCGGCACCTTCGTACCAGACGTATCGTTTAGGCAGAAGCTCGGTGAAGATTCGAGAACGGCTGGGCAAGAGCCTCTGCTTGTCTATGTTATGACTCGTATGCGGGGAATGAGCCGCCTGGACTTCATACTCGCACATGGCTTCCCAGAAAACTCACCCGAGAATATGGCCCGGCGCAAGAATCTGATTCAGGATGTTGCAAGGTCCGCCGTTAGCTTCTTGTCTATGCTGTGGGCTACGCTAATCTAACTTGACGCAGATTCTTTGCTCTTGCGTGGAAGGCGCCACAGGAAGTCGACCAAGCCTACCGCGATTGCATGGCTGAGACGTTCGAGAAGGAGCTGCAGATCTTGCTTGTTACCCTGCCCGACCGGTTTCACCCGATAACCCGCGCTACGCTAGCATCCCTACCGGGCATCATGTCTCTTCCTATGGTTCTCCTACATAAAGACTTTGGCGACTGCAACATCATGGTGGAGGAAGAGTCGTGCCATTTGGTTGGCGTCATTGATTGGGCTGAGGCGGAGATTGCCCCCTTCGGCACAAACCTCCATTCACTGCAGGATCTGATGAGTAAGTTGCACTTGAAGAATGGCTGGATCAGGTACGAGGACTACGATGACTTGGCGCGCTTGTTTTGGCAAACCTTTAGCGATATGGTTGGCGGACTAGGCGAGAACACCACCAAGGCTATCAAGGCGGCAAGGGTCCTAGGTCTGCTACGATCTTGGGGCTTTACCACCCGGCATGCGAATATGCCTAAGCCGGTACCAATCAAGGATGATGACGGCGGGAGGTATAGCATGATGATACTTGACGGGCTGCTGTTGAACCCAACTACCCGATTTGAGGGGCTTGATGAACAACTCAGATAGAGGGAATGGAAGCTGAACGTAAGCTAAGAAGGGATGAATTTGCGACTAGGTTACATGATACCAGCCTCGATAAGGGCAGCTTTGAGGTCGTCCACATTCTACAGCTTGGGCAGAGGCTTGCCTGCATTGAAAACCTTGTGATTCCCACTTGTCATTTTTGAATGTGTTTCGTTGCTCTGGCAAACGCGGGGACTGCCATCGAACGACTCGAACGTCCAGCCAGTAATACGGGTCGGCTGACAGTTCTTGACGAAAGAAGTGTCCAGCATGATGGTCCCTTGGTCCAGAATGAGCTCGGACATGCCGTAATTGTTGCCGGCTCCATTTCCGAGGACTTGAAGACCAATGAGCCCGACAAGGTTTTTGGCCGTAATGTAACGAGAGAACTCCACAAGGAAGTCCTGCTCGACGTTGGTGAGGTCAGGCAGAGGCCCGTCCTGAAACTGGTAGGCACGGAAGCCGCTGTCGGTGAGGACGAAGATGTGCCCACGGCATGGATCGAGGACCCTTCGAGCTTGTTGAAGTCTGTGATTTTGGCCCAGCGCATGTCGGGGTTCTGGAAGTTGGTTCCGACCATGACGGTACCTTCCGGGATTTGGAAGTGGCCGTGAATGAGGTGAATGCCGAAAATCTTCTCAGCGTGGTGGCGGACAAATAGGGCCGCAAGGTTCTGGATATGCTCATCCGCAACAACAGGCTGGGCATCGTCATCCTTGAGGCTGTTGTAGCTGGATGGAAAAACTATGTCAGCCAGGCTGTTGAGTTTGTGACGTATGCGCTGGGAGGGAGGGAGGGGAGGGGGGTGGACGTACAGCGCCCGACTTTGCTGGAAGTCATGAGCGTTTAGAGCCTGGTCAAGGGCTGGAAGCGTGGGACGGGTCGCCACTAGAGCTGCTATCGTGCTTGAAGAGATTTCGACAATAAACTTGCGTGGGGTGCTTGGTAGACTTGGCCGGTGCAGTGAGAAGCATCGATGCAAGATTAGGAAGGGGAGAAGAGAATCTCTTGGGGGGACGTCTCTTTATGTAACAGCTTGGGCTGTCGAACCCAGGTCGGACCTACCGAGAGCTGCATATAGTTGGATATGTTGGTGCATGAGACGCTCCAACAAGCGTGGCGCATATGTATGTGACACCCCCCCCCCCGCCTCCAAAGCAGGCAGCGACGTGAATTATGAAGGCGGCAACACTGGTCCTGGATGTAGGCCAACATGGCCTGTATGTATCTGGCACCCGTAATTGCACTTCTGTACAACCACTCGTGGCCGTTTGAGCAGTATTGCCTCCACCATCTTTCAAGGGATTTTCGACAATCTTTTCACTTCCGTCTGCTGGTACCAGCAAGTGGATCGGATAGCCTGAAATTGGTCGGTCCGGGGCTTGCACAATCGCGATGACAAACGGTTGTTTGGATTAGTGCGAGGAAACGGGTTCATTCCTACAGCTCCAGTCAGAGACAACTATTACCCAAGGCCTGCCCCTGTTTCTTCCGTCGACATGGAAGAAGCATTTCACTGCATCTCGTAACTGACAAGCCACATCAGAGGGTGTAGGTTAGGTGTTTGCGTGTTGGGTATGTGGGTGTGGGTGTGGGTGTGGGTGTGGGAATCGCCATACTCCAGTTCAAGATTTCCAGGGATGTGACTTGTTTCAGTCTACGACGGCTCCGGGGACTGGCCCAAATCCGCCAAAATATTCGGAATCAACGGCGCTGTCCAGTACTCTTGGTTGAAGATTCGTTTTCCAAAGGATCCGGAGCTGGCTATCCAAGATTTGTAGGACGGGACAAATATCGACAAGAACAACCTCAACATCGTAGCACTTGCTCAAGATATCTTGGACGTCAAGAATGCACACAACCGATCTCTTGATTGGAGCTAGTCTACTGAATCACTGCGTCGACATATTTCTAGAAATCCTTCTCGTATTGCAAATTCCTCATCGAATTGCGAACTTGTAAAACCTGCCTCAAGGAACTTAATTGTATTTTATGAGCAACATTCCCAATCTATGCTCTTTACACACCTGGACAAGCTGAGAGGAGGAGGGAGAGTTGACAGAACTTGCCCTCCCTGTTTAGCTTCAGTTAATTTTCCGATGGCCCATGTACAGTCTCCTAGGACAAAGTGAATTGTAGCATTTACAGACGCTAGTGAATCTACGGATGCCGAAATTCAGTGTGGGTGATGGCCATTCTCTATTTTGAACCACGAACAAGTACATTGTTTTCCGTATACGTCACGGCTAAGACGGCGGCCACAGTGAATAGTCTGTCGGCCATCAAGTGAATAGTTAAGGAACTTTCAGACCCCTCAACCTATTTAAGTCAACATGATGGCTTGCATTCTTCCTTTCCCACAACACAGGAAAACGATTTCGATCAAACTTCTTTTGCACTTGTTATCATACCACAACTGATACTTGAAGTTCTGGCAGCAGACTCACAACTTACTTTTCTATCTGTACCTCAATATCTCCAGAGGCTTCTCACGCCCCATGGGTGTCTACATTCAATCTCTACGACCCACCACACCACTGTCAACAACATGAATTCCACCGTCAGCACTCAGCAGCTGGTTATCATTGCGAAGCCTGGCCCTGACCAGCCCTACTGTCAACTTGCCACTGCTTTCCAGAACTGTTTGTGCCTTCAAAGCATTCTACACCCGTGTCTCAATACCTTGCGTGCTTTCTCCGACGAGCGCTACCGAGTTGGCATTCTTCAAGAACTCGCATTCGCTGCTGAGAACCAGCCTACCCACGCCGATTTGATGCTACCGGCCGACCGCTACTACCAGGCAAGCGAGCAGAAAGATGCCGATTACCGGTTTCCATACATCACCGCGACCCTGATCTCGAGCATGGCTTGTTGTGTGGGCCAAGAGCACAACTGCTATCGTTGTTCGCTGGAGGCGCCTTTCCATACCGTCCGCAATCCCTTCAGAGCTGCTCATGATCCCCTTTACAAGGATTGTAGCATGCCTGGAGACATCACAGTCGGCGTCATCGACATAACGGATCTGCGAAAGCTTCGATACTGCTTCCTCAACATGCCCATCTGGTGCGTCAAGTGCGGCCTGCGGAGCTACCACCCCGACAGCAAGACAATCATCGACACGTACGGTGGTGATCTGCCGGAGTGGGAGATGGCAGACTATACACCTTCAGACGGCGAGCCTATCTCGTACCGCATAGATTTCGATTCTAACGGCCAGCTCGGGCCTATGCGTGAGGGACCAGATGTCGGGGCATTGGAGATGTTGCGAGCATACCCTCTTATCGATGTTGCTACTCTTGCAAGTAAGTTTATATGTCCTGGTTCGTCCAGACCTTCAATCAGAAAAAGTTTATGTTGCTGACTACGTGCCCGCCACAGATTGCTGGCCAGCCGCTGCCTGGAAATTGCCCGAACAACCGACGGCGGATTCCAACCATGTCTCAGTCTATCTGGGTGCACCCAAGTGCGGAAGCAAGTCTCTTGGAGAGCTAGCACAGAATAAAATCCTCGACGCGGTCCTCCTCGGCCTCCTCGACGACCTCGAGCTGCTCGACTACCCGATGCTGATCCGCGGCTTCCAAAAGTCCTTCCTCGCCATATGCTCTGCGCGAGCCGACGAGCTCGCCGCCTCCGAGCACCAGGGTATTATCGCTGCAATGCTTGCCCGCCTCATGGACGGAGCAAATCACGTGGACCTTTACCCATTTCGCCAGCTTCCACTGAGTACGATCCGAGAAATTCTCTGCAGCGATCGCCTCAAAGACATGAAGATACTCAACCTGTCCGGACTTTTCGCCGAATGTCCTGAAGAGATCTGGACGACGCTCGACGCCATTCCCCACCAGCCGGAGGTGGTGTACCTGCTGAGCCCGCCGAGCGTGGACAGGACGGCCGAGAGGGCGGTAATAAAGAGGACCGTCCCGCATTACATTGCAGGAGGGAGGTGCAAGTTCTGGGACCGGGTGGGCTCCAAGAGGATCATCATGAGCGCGAGTATATCCACTGCGCTGATGTCGTACGCCTCCTCCCACCGAGGCAGTAATTTTCAGAGCAACCCCCAGTGGGAACGAACCTACCTCAACTACCTGCGCGAGCTGGTTCGGGGTGATACAATGCGTCTGCGGCTGTGGCCTTGGATGTGGTGGTGAAGAGGGCGTCAGGTTCTTCCTACTGTGAACATGTTCACGGGAACAACTCTATTTGCATCCTCAGCACATGCAACCACATTCACATTTTCTGCGAATGCACCTCCCAGAACCTGAAAGTCTGGCCGCCGATAGTGAGGGCTGGGCTTTTCTGGACTTCTCTACTCGCATATCTCCCACGCCTGTCAAGAAACTGGCAATTTTGCTTGCAAAACAGAGGATCAAGGGAGGATGTTCCACATAGATCTAACATCTAATCCAATTGTAAATGGGGCGGGAGGGGAAATGCGCAAAGGGGCTTGGCACCAAAGCCATATCAGCGATTGACGACTCGGAGTCTGCCCTGTTGACAAGAGCATTGGCGAATTCGGCAGAGCAGTATTTTCTAAAACGAAGAGGTGTTCTATTCGACTTTTTCCATTCGTGATTAAAGTGAAAACTAGAAACGTCTTCATAGATACATGCAGGAATGAATGCGATTCCAACATTCACCTTAAGCCCCACCATTGTTATCCAATCAAGTAGGAATGTGCCCCGATTAGAAGCCACTTCGGGCTGAATCGATAGACTCGGTAATATGTCATAGTTCTGCAAGTCCTCCTGTCCTGGCCATGAAAAGAGCGAGAGAAGAGCGAATTGTGGAAGATAAGATTCTTTAAAGTTTGCTATACGTTGCCAAAGCTTTGGCTTGTCTCCAATAAGAACAGTGGGATCTAGTCACGCAGTCAGTTTATCTCTAGTACGAATATGCATAGTTGCGCTTCAGATAACGAAGCATCAGATGCTTCATGAATGAATCACCTGACATAATCATGAGGGGCCATCTTATGAGAAGCTGTCTATAAGACAACTACGGACATCCGTCGCAGGGAATTCCACATTCCTTGCAGCTTTTCAACAACGGGCACCGTATAACCTTGAACCAGTTGCCCAGATCACACATGCAGAGTGGATCCATTTGCCTCTTCACATCACAGGACCACTTGTCGTCGCCCAACATGGATGAAACTGGTGTTGCCACAGCAGTAGCTGCCGTGTAGACAAGGAGCATGATTTGTGGTCGCATTTTCTAAATGTGGTAGACTGGTATCTTGGAATGGCTGATATGTTGTGTTGGATAAATTCAAGATGAAGATGAAGAATTTGAGCTACAGCCAAAGGTTCCAGGAGGTAGAAGGTGAGGCGAGCAAAGAGGAAGGGGGCAGTCATTTGTTTAATGCTTTTCGCTCGCCTTTTCATGTAGGTTCTGAGCAGAGCATTAACCTCGGGCTATGAGGCCAATGTTTGCTGGCGCTGCTCGCGCTCAAGGTGCTCGGATAATGTTGCATCATAAGGTGATCTAGTGTACCATTAGAGACTGCAACAGAGGCGCAATTGCATGCCGCCGCTCTGTGTTGACGTCAAACACATGTGGATAGCCGTATAGCCGGCTCCACGAGTGGGAAGCACGTGATTTATGAGTTTCAAGGCTCACTTCAACGCAAAAGATCTGACAGGCATAAAAAAAAAGACGTTTCATGGGCACTTATGAGATTTTCTGAGGGATCGTGACTATTCTCCACTTGTGGCAAAGCAATTATTTGAGGGGTCGTCCATACTTTTCCACCTCCAGCTATTTCAAATGTTCCATCACCTCATAAACATCACTGAGTCGTACTCGAATGCTACTCTAGAAGCCAAACGACAAGATTTGTGAGCCCATGATAAATTGGGCGTCTTCCCCAACTGCAGGCAGGTGGGCTGCAAAAATAACCCCCAAGTTGAATTTCAAGCCATCGGTTGCACGGTCGTGAACCGGCTGCTGATCTATATCTCGAAGCTGTTAGTCCCAGCCTAACTTGCGATGATGGCTCAAAATTTGACAGGAAAATAGACCCCGCAGCCCTAGAACTTAATTGCCTCGGCGATTCTTAGTAAGTCTAGGTAGGCATCAAGTCCATGCTGGTGGTCTTGTAGCGGGCCGCCAAAGGAGCGCACGTGTCTCTGATCCCAACCTCATGGAGGCCAGATAGACGGGAACAGTCGGAAAAGAAAATAGTCGGTGCTGGTTGTACAGCACCGGGGTCATTGAGAGCATCTCTCCAAATCTATAGTGGCGGACCAAAGCATACGGAATGCCTGTGCATAATCCCAGCTTCAATGAGGCCGCCTCGCACTCGGAATACGGAAACAAAATGTCGAGATGAGCCCCGAACCAATCTTCCTTCCTGTTCACCCACCCCATCCGGACTCTCACGGCTGTATTGGGTCATGGTGCCATTCTCAAAGAGTAGGGCGTCACTTGCAAAGCCGAAACATCTGGCATTTCTTCTGCGAGTCAAAGCGCATGTTCCCATGGCAGATTGCCCTGTATCGGATTCAGCATCATGACATCGCATCAGGTTCGCATGAGATGGAATTGCCCTTGGAGCAGGCCAGCAGCCAAAAAGGTTGCCATCCAGAAGCACTGTTGAGGAACCCATGACTGGGAAATCAAAACTGACCGCGCTAAACTTCGATGGCTCTCAATCTAAAACTCTGCGCTGTCGAAGCCTTTTCGTTTCAACCGCGAGGATACTATCAAATGAGAAAGAATCAGAAATGCCATGCCGCAGGAGCGTAGATGATGAGAACTCACTCTGTGCACTTGAAGTTCGCAAGTCGATTGCCATGTGCATCCGTTCGACGTGCCCAGAACCGCGGGACCTGATGCCTACTTCTGGAACTACCCAGCTCGAGTGGTGCGATTCGCTTTGCAGGGGTTGATGGGGGGATAGGAAGCTCGATGCAGCCGATGACGTGAAACTCTTTGATGCACAGTCAGGAATGCAATCAGGGGGAGAATCGGGCGAAGAATAAGAAGGAAAATACTCGTGAAGATCCATAGAGTTGGGGAGAGTTGGAGATTCTCTGTGGGACATTCCTTTCTTTGAGTCTTTGTATGATGGATTTCTGCTGCTTACTAGGCAACTGCAGTCTGGTCTCTATAAATACATCGCTTCTCTCCCTCTTGGGGAGAAGAGGAGAGTTCGATAAAGTAAGCAACCAATTCAAGCTGTCTCCTAATTGCGGCTCCTGAACTGACGCCATCATGATTATACGTGCAAACGATTACCCATGCAGTACAAAGACCGCGGTCCTGCCACCCACTGTAATTGGCGTTCGCGGTACGACAGGCGTTGCATGCCGTCACAGGCCGGCGCAAAAGTGGCCTTTGTCAGGCTTTGAAATCTAAATTTAAGCTACAAGTGTGGCGTTCGCCGGCAATACACCAAAGAAAAGTGTGGTACGAAGAAGAGCAATTAGGGCCGGGGTGGAATGCTGACTTGGAGACAAATGGTGTATAATAACTTTTCAGCGCAGCTCAACAATGCATAAGGATGCAGAGACCTCGAAAGTCTTGTTGGCTCATCCTCGGAAGTATCAATGTGCCATCCCCGGAATCAAATTGAACCACGGAATACACACGATTACTTCATGAATTTCAACAAGGGCACAGATGACATGGCAAGGGCGATCTGTCAAAAGAGTAGAACCCAAAACATATGAATCCCATCCGTTCCGCGGCAGCAATGTCTCTTCGTGTCCGCGCCAGTTACCGGTAGTCTCAAGTATCTTCTACTTCAATCACCTCAGCACAGAGTATCTAAATATCTTCCTGTCTATAAGTCTTTCCCGATATTCGGCGGCTCTGGCAGGATTGGAGGTGCCATCGTGAAAGCGCTGTCTGCGGAAGCACCAAACGCAAGCCTGAGACTTGTCGCCACCACACCAGAACAGGAAGAGGGGCTCAAGGCGAAATGGCCCAAATTCAGCACCTTTATCGCCAACTCTTACGATTTACCATCGCTCGATGAGGCCGTGAAGGATGTCGAGGCCAATTTTGTCGTCAGATGACGAATCTGGCCACCAGCCCAAAGAGGTCCACCAACAAGCTCATCGTCGTCATGCGCTTCGTGGGTATGTTCCCCGAGCTAACAAGAGACTGAGTCCGGAGCATCTCCGTGAGCTCCAAGGGACACCGCTTGCTATCCAGCATCAGCTTGCAAAGGAGGTCCTTCACGAGAGCATGCTCCCTGTGGTGTACATCAACAGCGGCGCCACATTTATGGAGAACTATTTCATCGCACAGAAAGTCATCCGAAAAGAACCGAATCATGTGGCCAAGCAGGACTGTGCCATTCATGGCCATCGACGATATTGGAGAGGTTGCGGCAAAGGTGCTTCTCTCTGGCGATCGTCGTCACATCGGCGCCTTTCATACAATCAACAACGGACATGATCTGCTGGATCCATTGGGTGCCGCTTGAGTCATGTCGGAGGTTTGGCGTAAGAGAATTGTCGCCGTGGACGACAAGGAGGTCTTTGTCTCTGAATACCGGCCTCTCATGGGGGAGCCCCCTCTGCAACAGACTGTTGAACTTTTTGAAGTTTGAAAAGGATCATGAGGCCATTTGGTCCCTTAACAACTTCGCTGAGAGGACACTAGGCTGCGAGCCTAAAACCCTGGCCCAGTGGGTGCAAGAGAATAAGGCTGCATTTGTTGCTTAAAATTATAAACTCTCTGAGAGTCATAAGCCATTGAACTTCATCAATGAAATTTGCAGACATCAAACGATCTGAAGTATTCAAATCAATACATTCAATTCCAGCTGTAGGTGCTGACTCTTCCTTGTATTGTTAAGCGTAGTCCAAGACCATTGATTCGACCTGAGCATCCCATCCAACCATCTCCAAGGCAACAAGGAATGTGTGGCCAGAATAGAATATGTAAACTCTTCTACAGATCCTTGTGAAAGGTTGGTGGTATCTGCCAGCTGGTGGCACGGATTCTCTCCCCGTAGAGTCTCAAAACCCCCATCGGCAGGATGAAGACCACAGTCAAGAGAGCAAAGACTAGCCAAGCGTACTGAAACCCTATCTTCTCCCCGAGTGGGATCCTGAACGACGTGCTTCAGTGAAAAGTCTCGATTATTCTTGGGGATAGAAGAGAGAACCACTTACACGTAAAACGAGAGGAAGGGGCTGAATATGTGCCGGAAAAGATTTAGAAGCGTCGATATCTCTGCACTTTGGGCTTTGTAGCACTTTGAAGGGCGGTTAGCTGCCTATATTCTCGCACAGCGGCTTGAGTAACACCCTAAGACGTACGTCGGTCGAGTAAGAGTAAGCCACCGTTGTGGCAACTTGCAATCCGCAGTTTGCAATTCCCACTGCAGCAAAAGGAGTTAGCCAGCAAAGAACCGAGGAAGTTTCATAAAAATATAGGGAGGACCAGGCCACTGCATAGCCATGGCTTATTTCAAACCCTGCAGCCTAATAATACCTTTAAGGTACAGGCTACGGATAGGAAAACGATGTTCCAGAGAGGGTAAAAATGGTATCCGGAAGCTGCTTACTCCCAAAGGCGTTGCCGACCCAACTTGTTGTTTTCGAATGGCTGATACACACACCCTGAATGATGGTCCCAATGGGCACCAGCAAGGCCAGCCAAAGAGCATCGAGCCGCGGTTCCGGTGGCCGACGGCCATCGTGGCGCAGGGAGTGTCTGTAGATCAAGAAGTCGATGAACCACCCCGCATTTGCCTCACCAATGAGGCAGCCGATTAACGTTGGGATGCTGAGGATGAGACCTGTCTGAATAAGGTTGAAATCATAAAGTGTCCGGAACACATACGCTCCCGAGGTAGCAAAGAGGATGCCTCCAAATGAGAAGGCTATCATGTAATACAAGACCGGGAAGAGGACGCATATGTATTTCAGCATCATGAATGGTCGAGTGAAGTCGATTAGACCGAGCCTGCGGTCGGGCAAATGTTTTGGCCGGAACAGAAGGCGGTCCACGTAGGAGCTTTCTCGGTATTCAGCAGGTGTGGCTTCCGTCTGACGGGAGTAAATTGTCTCTGGCAGGCAGAACAGATTGATGGCGAAGAAGGCGAATTGGACGTAGGATGGTATGGTGAAGCAATATCTCCAGCCCAAGTTCTGAGCCGTGAAACCACCAATTAACGGCGCGAAGTGTGGTCCGTTGTTCATGAATACGGCGAAAATGCCCATGAAGAAGCCCCTCTGGTGGAGGAAATATAGGTCACAGATCGTTGCGGCACCTATGGCTACAGTGCTGCCGGCCCCAAGGCCCGAGAAGGCTCTGGTGGCAAGAAGGCCGCTCCATGTAGAGCAATGTCCCGCCACAAGGTTCGAGATTGCGGCTAAGAGGTTGCCCGCCAGGTAGATCGGGCGTCTTCCGTAAATGTTGGCAAAGGGCACGACAAGAAGTGGTCCCACACCTCCAAAAAGTATCTGTGGCAAACCTTAGCGCCTTTTCTCACATACTTTGTGACTCTGTCAATGATAGCAAAAAGGAAAGAGAAAGTCGTAGACTCACATATATCGTCAGCTCATAAGATGCTTCGACGGGTGTGTTTCCGAAGGCTCGCCCCAAGGGGACGAAAGCAGGGTTGATGACAGCCGCGGACATTGGTCCTAACATGGCAAGGAGTGAGACCTGCAGGAGAACGGAGAATTTCAACGCAGGAGACCAATTCTCGAGTGGAGGGTTAGACATGGCCAGGGTTGAAACTTGATAGTATATCAAAGACGTTGTCATAGGAAACTCACCAAGGGGTCGTCTTTACGGTCTGAAGGCTGGGGGACTAGAGGAAGGCCATGCTTGTCGAGCTTGAGTGTCGGTGTGGATACTTCCCTGTTCTCATTAATGTCAAAAGTGTCTTTCTCATCTGTAAGGACTTGCTCTCCGTCTCCAACCTCACGAGCTGGAGGAGACATTGTACGTAGTAACGAATCTCGCAGAGTGGTTCAAGACGTAGCTAGGAATTGAGAAAACAATGTACAGGCACAGAAGACGACAGAGACGGAATAGACGTCTCTAAAGAGATAAATAAGATAGTGTGCTTTTCATTTTCCGTCAGCTTACCAACCCTAGCCAAAAGATAAAAGACCCGGGGAAGAGGGCCAATGAGTGACCTGTGGTCAGCATCGGGAAGATGCATTGCGACGTAGCTAAAATGCATGATAGTGGTAACACATGCGGATATTCCAGACGGCACTTATATAACACTGCGGAGAAGTGGAGAACCTACCGGACTTAAACCCCTTCCTACTCTCAGAAACATGTCTTGAGACTCAACTTAAATCCCTTTAGAGACTTCTCATGAGTATAATCGCCACCATCACTATTCCAGATAGCACATTTGAAGGGGGATGGTATTAGACGGATTATAAAATCGTCAGTGACAATGCTTGGCTGAATTTTTGCAAGAGGTTTTGACGGGAATCTCGGGTTGGTAGTCCAAAGCGCATGCTCAAAAAGCAAGCCTGCAGGAACCTGCATGAAGACAACGTTGATCCTATACTTCATAGGACGATCATTCTACTCGCGAAAAGGTCGCATCTTGGCATCAGCAATTCCCTGGTCTAGCAGCTGTTGTGATCAACCACTTTCAGAAGACTACGCTCCTGATGGTAGAGAAGGTAACCTCGTGATGACGACTTAAGGAGTTACACGGGCGCTTGCGCCGAATTTGCTCCAGTAAAAGACTTCCTACCCCATACACCAGAAGCGAACACGATTTCCGACACACTTCCCTCGGAGTGTACTTTGCCAATTCACATCACCTACTTATCTGTTGCCCACTGCTGCCGCAGCTAATCACGGCATCTTTTGATTTCGGTTATCGTCACCCATAACCACAGGTGCCGGAAGACAGGACAATACCCGGATGCTCTTGGTGAGGTGATGCTCCCCAAGGGGGATGGTCCCAAGTATTGCTCAGAAAAGCAACTTACATGGCAGATGGGGATAAACTCGAAGCCAGACGAATGTATCCGGCGATAATGAATTGGTGGTAGAATTTCTGATGACAGTACATTCTTCAGCACTATCAAGACATCACCAATAAATTGGACGACAGGTGGGCGCTTCGGGAGCCGACAAGCGAAAGATGAGAAATGCACCCGGACGATATCAGCACGCCAGATGAAAATCACAAGAAACTTCAGACCCAACAACGGGAGCGTGAAGTAATAAAGAATTAGCTGAGGAAAGCTCCAGCCTACTATCATAAATCGAGCAGGGTGATCACGGTATGGGTGGGGCTAACTGTTGGTAGGTCTCGTACGTATGATAATCATATGGGAAGCAATCATATATTAATATTATTCTGTTTAAGTTCTAAGAGGCTACGTGCCCCGGAGGGGATAACTAAAGTAGCCTTTTAAGTATAAAGGTTATACTTGCTAATACTTATAGTTTTTCTCTTCTTTTAATAAGTATATATAATCCTTATTATAATTAATAATCCTTATTATAATTAGCTTTAAAATTATAATTTATTATATATTAAGTATATATAATCTTTATTATAAGAAAGCATTATTAAAAAGGCTTAAAATTATAACTTATAAGTTTTAAAGCAAGTTTTAGCAATTCTTATTATTATATTACTCTTTAAACTTATAATCTTCGCTATTATATTACCCTTTAAACTTATAATTTTTGCTATTATATTACTCTTTAAACTTGCAACCATTATTATTATACTATTTCTTAAATATTATACTTATTATCCTTAATATTTAGCTTTTAAGGTTACTTCTTTATAAAGATTATTAACTTTTGCATAATAGCCTTAGTTTTAAATCTCTTTTTTATAAGGAAAGTTAATGCTTATAAAGTTAATGCTAAATCCTTTAGCTTGCATTTATTTTTATTTGTTATGGGCTCGGCCCCAAAGGGGCTGCAGGCTGGCTAGCGCCTTCTTCCATAAGCTGCAAAGCAGCAACCATTTGCGCCAAAAGGTACGTAATAATCCAAGCTCCCTTGGATTATCTAGCCACACTATATAAGGCTTGGGCAATAGCCCAAGCCCATCACATTATTATATATCTTTATAATATAAATATTATTATCTTTATTCTTATTCTTATTATTAAAATACACTTAGTATTGTTTTAAATTAATTTCCTTTAGCCATTTTTTATTCTTTTAAAATTAAGCATTATAAGCAGCTTAATTATTTATTATTTCTTTCTTTTGCTTTTTATTATTTTTTTTAATTTCCTTAATAGTTATCTTTTGCTTAAATTGCTTAAATAATAGCGCATATTTCTTAATAAATCTCTTTATATATAGGCCTTATATATATTTATTAATAGTTTAATGTAAAAAGTTTTAAAGTTAAGTTAGCATAGCAATTTAGTCTTTTAATAGCTAAATTTTTTTAATTTAATATATATAAAAAATACTTAAGATTAAAATTATTATTAAATTATTTATTATAAAGATTATAATAATTTAATATTTAAAATAGTAATTACTTTAATAATTCTTATTATTAAGGATGCTATATAATTTTATATTAAGAGTTTTAATGCTTTTAATGTAAATATATAGCTTTTTAATTATATTATTAAAAAATATTTACTTATTTTAATATTAAAAGTTATTAATAATTTAAATAATAGCTATTATAATAATATTATTTAGAAAAAGTATTTTAGCTTAGGTTATAGCTATAGCCTTTAGCTTATTAATTTTAATAATTCTTTAAGAGTTTATTTTAATAAATAGCTTACTTTTTTTAATGCTTAGCATAAAAGTAAAGTTAAAGGTGGTTTTTGCAATCTTTATTAAGGTTTTATTAGCTTAATTTTAATTATTTTTATTATTAATAATGATTGAATTGCTATTAATATTAAGCGGATAAGAGTTATTATTATTAACATCCTTATTAATATTTATTAAATAAGTAAGTAAATAAGAGTTATTATTATTAATATTCTTATTAATATTTATTAAATAAGCATTATTAATAATAACCTTGCTATAAGAATTAATAAAATTAATAAGCTTATCTTTATCCTTATTAATTAAGGCAATTTTAGCTCTTTTTATAGCCTTAGTAATAATTTTAATCTTTATCTTATTGCTTAATGGGAATATAGTTGCAATATTGAAAACGAGCCACCTAAACAAATAGGGGACAAGTTCTATTAAACCCTCTTAAGGATAACTTAAGGAAGAGCTTTAACGTAATAAAGAAGGAAGATAGGAATAAAAAGGAACCAAAGAAAGGGAAAAAATAAATATTTTAAAAATTCTTAAAAATTAGAAAAGCTTAATTAAAGCATTAAATATATAAGAAAAGAAAAGAGTTAATTTCTTAAAAGAATATTTAAAATAAGCATAAAAGCTAGCTTTTTATAGCTAACTAAAATTTAATGCAATATTATTTTTTATATAATTTTTTATACTTATTAATATACCTTTCTTTAAATACTTTGCAATAAGTATTATAAAAACTATTAAAATAAAATCTTGCTACTTTTAATTAAGCCTTTAAGTTTTAAAATTTACTTTGCTATAATCTTAATTATTATTATTATCTTTAATTCTTAGCTTACTTATTTTATTATAGCTTTTGCTTTTTTATAAAAGCTTTAAATATTTTTAAAACTTATTTAATAATATATTTATTAATTATATTCTTTTAGCTATTAAAGTTTACTTTAATAGCTAGCATTAATATAGCTATTAAAAATTTAAATATCTTTATAAAATAAAAAGTAAATTTATTCTTTTTTTTAATTATTATATTAAGTATAGCATATTAACTTTATTAATTTTTATTTTTGCTTTTTATAAAGCTTTTACTTTTACTTTTATTTCTTGCAATGCTTTTGCTTTTAATATTTATATCTTATATTTAATTACTTAACTAGCTTATTTATAAGCCTTTTAAATTATTTTTAAGTAAACTTTATTATTATTTTAATTATTTTAAGTTAATTAGCATGCTTTAAATTTTATTTATATTTATTATTAAAATAAATAAATAAAAAAGATCCTTATATATATTAAGATAAGCATTTTTTATTAGCTTTAAAATATTTTATAATATAATGCTTAAATTAAAAACTTATTTAATTAAAGTTTTACTTAATTAATTTTAAGCTATTTAAAAGTTTATATTTTATTATATATTAAATATTTAAAATTAAATTATTAAATTAATTTATATTAAAGGTATTATTTCCTTTACGCTCTTTTTATAATTAGCAGTAATTTTAATATATTATAATTTAAATAGCTATTATTAAATAATATCTCTTTATAATAAAAGCTTATTTTTTACTTTAATTACTTTTATATTATTAATCTTAATAAAGAAAATTAATATAAATATTTAAATAGCTTTATTAATTTCATTAAGCTTTAATTAAATAATAAATATTTAAGTAGCAATGCTAATAATAACTTTAAGCATTTTAAAATATATAGTTTTAATTAAAAAAGCCTTAGCTTAATTTTATACTTTTTAATTATTCTTTCTTAAATTCTTTTTAAAGTAATTTTTAATAAATTTAATAGCATATTATTTATAAAATATTTTATTAATTTATTTTAATTTTAATGCAAACTCTTTATTAAAATCTTATATTTTATTTTTTAAAATAGCTATTAAATATTTATAAATAAATACTTTAGCATTTTTATTTATTTTACTTTTCTTATTTTTTAATATAAAACTATTTTATAATAAGCAATAATTCTTTATTTTATTAAAATTTTTATTATTTAATAATTAAGTATATAAATAAGTATAATAATAAATTTATAATCCTTTATTAATTTATATTATTAATATTTTTTAAGTAAAGTATAATTATAATATAAAGGTTTTTTAAGTAAAAATATAATATTTTAAAAGTTAAAAAGCTATTAAATTATAAAAGCTATAATATACTAAGTTTTTAATTCTTTATAT